AAATTAAAATACTGGGAGTTGGGTGAAGTTGCATTGAATTCGTATTGTGTTCGAGATGCCGGCCTGTGGAAGCTGGTGGGTGTGGACTGTGCTCCTTAAGTAGTGTCTGGGAAGGTCTGGGAAGGTTCTGTGGGGCGTGTGATAAACGGGCTGAATTTAGAAGGTTGCGCTCCTGTCCACAGGAGGGCTGGAGCCCCTGAGCCCAGGGACACGGAGGTAAAGCTGTTGTTTCAGGAGATTCATCTGCCTCCTTGAAATAAAAATGACTGCACGTTTTAAAATGAACTTTGCAGCTTTCCTTCCCTAAATTTTATGTAATTCCAAAGAAATCTGGCATCCTGGTGGGAGTCTCAGTGGTGGGTGAGATCCAGTGGTTTGGGGGAATTTTCTGTGTCCACTTCCGTGTCACTGTTGTTAAGCCAGCTCTCTCTCTGTTCTCCCTTCACTCTGCCCTGCTCTGTGAGCTGCCTTACATCTGACCATTGTGACTTAATAACATTTAATGACACTTCTCCGCCACTTTTAGTGCCAGCTACCCGTGGAACTGAAGCCTAGATGCAAGTATGAAGGCAAGGGCAGCCAGGGCCTTCAGGTTGCCAGTTACTTGGCTGGAAATCCCATCCACGTTGGGAAACAGATTTTTAAAATAAATTTGGAGCCGGGAGCAAAGCCATCCTTTTGTAAAGCTGTGTCAATAATCGTAAACCCTCATAATCATGTCCCCGGACCCTTGGCCAGGCTGACAAACATTTAGGTGTCAGGAGAGCCTCCGGATTCCACCCCTCTGGTTTCTCTTGCTGTTTGGGTTGGCGCTGGAGCGCGATCTTCTGTTTTATGTAATAAGGCACATGAGAGAAGCCCTTTGTGCTTAGCTTCTCTGAGCGGTGCCCAGCAAGATGTCTTGTGTACCCCATCATTTTCGGTACGGTCAGAGCTGGTGAACATTTCTGTGGCTTGGTAAATGTTTTCTAACTACTGGCAAGGTTTTTTTTCTTTTTTTCCCCAGTGCCATTGGGGAAAGGCTTTGGTTTAAGATGAATTTTGCCAATACATGTGTGCAGTGGGACTACAATATTTTTGGAGAAAACAGGCATGGGTGTGACACAGGCTGATGTAATATGGTACCACATATGCTCCATCAGGCCAAGGAGGTTTTTATCCTTTGCAGATTGTGCCAATAAGAGGGCACAGCTGGTTGAGATCTGCAGACGTATACAGAATTCTCTCCTTCTGAGAAGGCTTGTTACTAGCATGTGACATAACATAGAGCCTATTTTCTGACGTATTTTTCATTTTTGCTTTTGAATGTCAAGCAAAAAGGCCACTTATCATAGTTGGCCACTTAGTTTTATTATTCATTTTGCTGCCTCTCCTTAATTTTTTTTTTAACACAGTGTTAAATGTTAACAGTCAGGTGTTGGCAGCCTTTCCAAGGGGAACAGACTGCTTTGAAATAAACACAGCTGGAAACTGATCACATATTGTTTTCCTTTCTTTAAGAAATGAAAGAGGCATTTATAGGAAAGCTGGAGAACGCTGTGCTATCCAGAATTACTTTATAGATTTATTCCTCCAAGTCTGGTTAATGCTTAATGTCACACCTTGGTGTTCAAACAGACCCACTTGGACTCTCCCTTCCTGAAGTGGGAGTTTCCCTGGGAACAATAAACTTGCAGAGGTTTGGGGTGATCGGCACTGCAGGAGGGGTGGAGTCTGTGCAGCTCCGTTTTGCTCGGCTGAAGTGCCGTCTTCCGAGTAAAGAAGCCTTCTCTGGGGTTTTCTTCTGCTCGCTCTCCCAGCAGCCCTGAAACCCTTATTAGAGGTACCTCTGCTGGTCTTTTACGGGGCTGTTCTTCCAGTGATGGTCAAGTAAGTGAATTATGGAATGTTGGTGCGTGCCTTTGTGATTTGTGTTTTATTTACTGTTAAAAAATGAAGGCAGGGTGTTTTCTAATGGTGATTCAACTAGGTTTTGTGTCTGCTGGAACCCTTTTTCTTGTTTTTTTTTTTTTGTCAGAGGAGAACCAGGGGTCTTCTTTTCCCACACCTAGAAGACTTTATTGTTGTTTGGGTCATTTATTTCTTTAGTCTCTGTGCCAAAAGTTTTCTCTCTTTCTTTTGCTATTTCTTCGTATAGACGTTTTGATGATTTGTTAGTTATAGCTTAATAGCCGATTGCTATTAATGAACTACGAATAATTAATTCCTATGGTGTAATAATTGACTGCTATGTTAAAGTTTTTCAAAGGTGTTTTCCTCCATAAATAGGTATTTCTCTTGACATCCATCTTGTAAGAGCTGAGTTAGAAATGAAGAAGAGAGATGTAGGAACTTAAGAGTAACGTTTGCTTTCGGCTTGCGTAAATGGCATCTGGGGAGGCTTTTTTGCAGGAAAAATATATTTTAGTTTCATTTTGTTTCGTTTTATCTGTGAGAACAACAGGGTTGTATTTGTCGGGATTACCTGAATTCTCTGTCACCTGTGTTGGAATCTGCATGATGTTTAGACAAGTCAAACTTGTTCATTCTTCCTTAGAGTGTCTCATTTAAAATAGCCTTCCCTATGTATTGCCTGAGGCCCGTGGGTGGGAACTGTTGGAATTAGGCCATTGATCTACTTGGATTCTCACAATCAGACCCAGCATAGTACAGCTCTGTGTATTGTCAATGACTAGCTCAGTGACACGTGCTCAATGGCCATCTGAGCTCCAGGAATAGGAAGGTAAATGGTGAGTTTTGAATTTTTGTAAAACGCATAGGTAAGTCCAAATGAGGAGAGAGCTGAGAAGACCTGTTACGATGAAGGTGGTTCTTTTTCTTTTTGAATTTTATTTTTTTATACAGCAGGTTCTTATTAGTTATCTATTTTATACACATCAGTGTACCCATGTCAATCCCTATCTCCCAATTCATCCCACCCATCCACCACTTTCCCCCCTTGGTGTCCATACGTTTGTTCTCTACATGTGTCTCTATTTCTGCCCTGCAAACTGGTTCATCTGTGCCATTTTTCTAGATTCCACATATATGCATTAATATACAATATTTGTTTTTCTCTTTCTGACTTAACTTCACTCAGTGAAGGTGGGTCTGAAAGGCTTTCTCTGTGTTGATTACTGCCAAGCATGTTGCTTCCTGGCTTTATGCAACTTGGCAGAATTGATCTAGATTTCTGGATTTTGAAAGCATAGAAAGAAAGGTCACAATTATACATTACATTGGACTATGATAATATACCAATTCTGTTCCTGAGTTTCTAAATGTTTATATATTTATTTTGGCTGTGCTGGGTCTTAGTTGCGGCATACGGGATCTTCGTTGCGGCATGAGGACTCTTGGTTGCGGGATCTAGTTCCTTGACCAGGGATCGAACCCGGGCCCCCTGCATTGGGAGCGTGGAGCTTTACCCACTGGACCACCAGGGAAGTCCCTGTTCCTGAGTTTCTTAAATGACTCATTTTCTTTTATGAGACTGTGCAGCTTGTTTTTTGAAAATGATTATAATTTCATTGCTCTTTCATATGTGTTATCCCATGGTTCTCACATCAGTCCGATATGGTAGGTATTGATGTTACTACACCGTTTTATAGTTGAGGATATCAAGAGTCAGATGAAAAGTGACCCTGGGGGTCTCTTGGTGAGTGAAGGAACTGGATGTAATCTGGTTTTTTCGTTTTGTTTTGTTTTTTGCGGTACGCGGGCCTCTCACTGTTGTGGACTCTCCCGTTGCGGAGCACAGGCTCCGGACGCGCAGGCCCAGCGGCCATGGCTCACGGGCCCAGCCGCTCCGCGGCATGTGGGAGCCCCTGTAATCTCGTTTTTAAAAACTCATAACCCCGTACTCCCCTACCTCATTCTCTCTGGTCACCTCTAAACTTCATCCATTGTGGCACAGAGGCAAGAGTTCCCACCTGAGTGTTTGGAGACCTGGATTCTGATTCTGACTGTGTCATTGCTGGCTCTCTGGTGGTGAGCAGTCACTGAAGTCTTTGGATGTCATTTTCCTGCAAGAGGCTACAGAATATGACTTCTGCAGCTTCTATGCAGCTGCAGATCTCTACTCAGAGCCTTAAGCAGGGTTTGTGTCAGCTCTGTAGTGCTCCCTGCGACGTGGAGAAGAGGTGAGAAAGAATGTAAGCCCGCGGGTGTTGTATCCAGCTCTGCTCTGGCGTTTCCTGCCAAGCATGAAGAGATACAGGATGTCCTTAGATGAGGAAAATCCCGAGCCTTTACAAGACTGGATTCTCTATCGCTTCTTGAGCCGTCATTTTTCAGTCTGTTCTTTTAAACCATCAACAAAAGTATTTGAGCCAAGCTCTCTTGTGGTTTCAGCCCGGGGATGATGAACAAACACATTGATTATGTTCCCATCTTGCCCCCAAAGAAGCGACAGCCTCCTTGCATGGGCCCATCTGTTATCATAATCCTTTTTGGAACGGGGAAAAAGTAAATAAGTATTACCCTACCCTTCGCTTAGGTGGTTGAGAAGAGGAAGGGGAGAACAGTGGGAAAGTATGTTTTATTCTACCTCCATGGTTAACTCTGTCAGCTAATCAAAGATCAATTTAGAAAACTATGGTATACTAAGAGAAGTGTGAGTACATCTGACTGACATTATAAAGGAAAAAACCCTGTAACTAACACCGTCTACCATTACCATTGTTGTGTACAAGAAAATAAAGAAGAAGTTGGAATGCCGAACTCCCAGCAGGGAGAAAAGGGCAGGTCTTCCTGGGTAAGGAGGATTGGCAGCCTTATACTGACATTGCACCCTGCACTGGTGAAAAACCTCATCCGTGACCTCAGTCTGCACTTGGGAGGCTCTGCTCAGCCTGGTGACTGGTGCTTGTCATTCACAGCCATCCTGGTAGGAAGTGGAGTTCTGAATGTGGAAATGAGACCTGCGTTCCCAGTTCTGTCCTTTTTTTCTGCTGCAGTCTCTGTCCCAGCTCTCATGCTGTGATTCAGACCTTAACTTATTCTTCCATCTTTCCCAACAGGCAAGAAGAGAAACCCTGGCCTTAAAATCCCAAAAGAAGCATTTGAACAACCTCAGACCAGTTCCACGTAAGTCTGGCAAGATCATCGTCTTAATCCAAATGCTTGCACTTTACAGATTTCCAGGGAATGGGAGTTCATTTTTGGACTGGTGAGCAATACCTTAACTATGGAGATAGTTGTTAGAAAGGAGAGCCCTTTAAAGGAGGAAGCCAAGTACTTACTGTTCTGAGACCCGAAAAAAAAAAATCATAGTCGGTTAGTCGATATGGAAGGGGTAGCTTTGAACTCATTGCTAGTTGGTTAAAAATTCTACAAATGCGTTCAGCAGATGGGGTCCTATGTAAATCCAAAAAGGTCACTGGACATGGACTTTTTGCCTTTTCTATATAGATCTGAGCAAACAAGCAAACCCCTGAGAGAGCCACTACTATAAAATTTTGTTTGAGGTAGAAAGATGGTATTTGGTGAGAACTCAGCATCCTGCCACCTAAATCCTGCCCATATAAACAGAAGGCAAACATGAGATGAAGGACCACTCCTTTGTTAGCTGAGCCTTTGGCCCAAATCCCTAAGGGAGCTCGGGTCCTGGTGAAGCAGGGCACCCTCTCCTGGAGCCTCCATCTTGTTTCTTTGTCTCTCTGTTGGGTGGGGAGGGTATTTCCTGCCTAGCTGGGGGTATGACCACCTATCAGAGCATCTGCATGGGAGGAACGGAAATTCCAAGAAAAACAATTACAGCAGAGGTACCATAAAAGCACAGCAAGTACAATGAGAGGCCATACCAATGGAAACTTAAATGTTTCAGGCTTCTGCTCATCTATAAAAAAGCACCTCCCTTTGTAGAGGTTTCTGACCTTAACCGTGATCATTCCCTATCAGACAGTGCACCCCTGGTGTTGGAATGTGCTAATAAAAATGATCATGTTCTGTAAGACTTTGGTCATTGCATCTTATGCAACCATGTAAACACACTTTCCACTGAAGAACCTCTAGGGACGGAGCAGAGGGGAGGGCTGTTCTTCAGCGCCCTGGACTGTAGAGCCAAATTCAAGTGAGAGTGCTCCTTTCATGAGGATCTGCAGGAGGAATTCTTTCCATATCTACTACGAAGACTGGGGTTTCTTTTTTTTTTTTTTTTCGGTCCCTCTGGTTATTTTTCTTCCCTTGGACCTACGAACTATGTAATTAATAACTTTTCCTCTCTGATTGGTTTCTTCTCGTGAGCTTAGGATCAAACATGTGGCTTCCCTATACGGGACTTCAGGGGGTATACTTTTAAAACTTTATTTTGAAGTAATTTTAGATTCACAGGAGGTGGCAGAGAAATGTACAAAGTCCCCTGTACCCTTCCCCCATCTGTGTCCCCCACAATGTTAACATTACACAACCCTAGTATCATATCAAAACCAAGAAAGTGGTGTTGATGCAAACCGTAGAACGTGTTCACATTTCACCAGCAATATAAGCCCTCGTGTGTGTGTGTGTGTGTGTGTGTGTCGCTCTGTGCAGTTGTGTCACATGTGCAGCCTTGCATAACAACTACCGCAATCAAGATACCTAAGTGTATGGCACTACAAGACCCTCTCCTTTTACTCCCCACCTCTGACCCCCACCCCTCCCGTCCCTAATCCCTGGCAACCACTGATCTGTTCTCCTTTTCCATTTCATTACTTCTTGATTGTGGTGCACATGGAATCATGCATCTCCTTTCTGAGATTGGCCTTTTTCATCCAGCATCATTTCCTTGAGGTTCATTCAAGTTATCGCATGTATCCATAGTTTATTCTTTGTTGTTGCTGACTACCATTCCATGGTGTGGATATACCACAGTTTGTTAAACCCTTTAGCCTTTGAAGGAGATGCAAGTAGTTTCCAGCTGAGCTGTTATGAATACATCTGCTGTGAACATTCATGTATAAGTTCTTGCATAGAAACAAGTCTCTGTTTCTCTGGGATATATGTCCAGTAGTGCAATTACTGGGTCATATGGTAAGTCCATTTTTAGTTTTGAAAGAACTGCCAAGTATTTTCCAGGGTGATTTTACCCATGTACATTCTTACCAAAAATGTATGAATGACCCACTTTCTCTGCATCCCTGTCAGCGTCATCACTGCTTTTCATTTTAGCCATTCTGGTAGATGTGAGATATCACTGCAGTTTTAATTTTCATTTCTCTAGTGGCTGTTGAATACTTTTGGCATTTATTTCCCATCCCTATATCTTCTTTGGTGAAATGTCTGTGCAATTCTCTGCCTATTATGTAATCAGATTTTTTTTTTTATGTTGAGTTTTGAGAGTTCTTCATATATCCTAGATGCACAGAGTTTGTCAGGTATGTGATTCAAGAACATTGTCTCCCAGTCTGTAATGGGTCTTTTCGTCTATTTTTTTTTTTTAATTATTTATTTATTTATTTTTGGCTGCTCTGGGTCTTCGTTGCTGCGCGCGGGCTTTCTCTAGTTGCGTCGAGCGGGGGCTACTCTTCGTTGCGGTGCGCAGGCTTCTCATTGCGGTGGCTTCTCTTGTTGTGGAGCACGGGCTCTAGGCGCGCGGGCTCAGTAGCTGTGTCACGTGGGCTCAGTAGTTGTGACTCACGGGCTCTAGAGCGCAGGCTCAGTAGTTGTGGTGCACGGGCCTAGTTGCTCCACGGCACGTGGGATCTTCCCGGACCAGGGCTCGAACCTGTGTCCCCTGCATTGGCAGGCCGATTCTTAACCACTGCGCCACCAGGGAAGCCCTCGTCTTTCTATTTTGATGAAGTCCAATCTATCAGTTTTTCCTCTTATGTGTTATGTTTTTGGTGACAAGTTTAAGAACCCTTTGCCTAGTCCTGGGTCTTACAGATTTTCTCCTATGTTTTTTCTAGAAGCGTTTTAGTTTTACATTTTAGATTTAAGGCTATGTTACATTTCGAGTTTAATTTTTGTACAAGATGTGAGGTTTAGGTTGGGCTTTATTTTTTTTGCCAATGGATTTCTGGTTGCTCCAGCACCATCTGCTGAAAAGGCTATCCCTCCTCCACTGAATTGCTTTTGTGCCTTTGTCAGATATTAATTGGGCGTATTTGTGTGGATCTATTTCTGGGTTCTCTATTCTGCTCCACTGGTCTCTGAGTCTGTTGCTCTGCCAGTCTGTCATACTGTCTTGATTCCTGCGGCTATATAGTAAGCCTTCACATTGGGAAAAGTGATTTCCTTGCACTTTGTTTTTCTTTTTCAAAACTATTTTGGTTACTCTAGGGCTTTCCTCTTTTCATGTTAGTTTTAGAATAAGCTTGTCTATGTCTACAAATAAACTTGCTGAGATTTTTGGTAGGAATTGTGTTTAACCTATAGATCGGTTGAGCGAGCACTGACATCTTTACTGCACTCAGTCTTCCAGTCCATGAATGTGGTATATTTCTCCCACGTGGTTGGGGTATACTACTTTTTTTATACATTGTTGGATTTAATCTCCTAAAATGTGAATATTTTTGTGTCTTAAATTCAAGAGAGATGTTGACCTGTAGTGTGTGTGTGTGTGTGTGTGTGTGTGTATGTGTGTGTGTCTGAGCTATTATGTTCTGGTTTTGGTATTTAAGGTAATGCTGACCTTATAAAATGAGTTGGTAAGAGTACCTTCTGTTTTCTGTAGACATTGTATAAGATAGGCGGTAATTCTTAAAAAAATGTTTTTGAGCTATAACTGACATATAATATTAGTTTCAGGTGTACAAAATAATGATTCGGGTGGCTTCCCTGGTGGCGCAGTGGTTGAGAGTCCGCCTGCCGATGCAGGGGACGCGGGTTCGTGCCCCGGTCGGAGCCTGTGCTCCGCAACGGGAGAGGCTGCAGCAGTGAGAGGCCCGCGTACCGCAAAAAAAAAAAAAAAAAAAAAAAAAAAAAGAAAAGAAAAGAAAAAAGAAAAAAAATTCCCCCAGGGAAACAAAGTGGGCTTATATATTCCTTTTTCTGGAGCTTTTAAATTACCAATTCATTTTTTTAAATAGTTATAGGGCAACTCAGATAATCTATTTCATTGTGGCTAAGTTTTGGCAGTTTGCAGTTTTCAAGGAATATCTTCTAAGTTGTTGAATTTATGAAAGTAAAGTTGCTCATAGTATTTCCTGATTACTCTTTTAATGACTGCAGGATATATTGAGATATCCCCCTCTTTTTTTGCTGATATTGATAATTTGTATCTTCTTTCTCTTTATCTGTGTTGGTCTTCCTAGGGGTTTATCAATTTTTATTGAATTTTTAAAAGAGCCAACTTTGTTTCCTTTATTTTCCTGCTTTCAATTTTATTGATTTCTGATCTTTTTTTTCTTTGACTTTTCAAATTGACAATGTTATTGAGATAATTGTACAGTCACATTCAGTTGTAAGAAACAATATAGAGAAACTTTATATTCTCTGCCCAATGGTAACATTCTGTGAAACTATAGTATTATAAGCTCAATTGATACTGACAGTGATACAATGTACCCATCTTATTCAGGTTTTCCAGTTTTACTTATATTCACTAGTATGTGTGATGTTAAATTTCTGTACCATTTTTGTCACCTGTGTAGGTTCATGCATTCACCACTACAGTCAAGAAACTGAATGGTTCTGAAACCAATAGGATCCCTCATGTTGCCCTTTTATAATCACGACTGCCTTCCCTCCTCACCTCTCCCAATACTGTTTTTCACCCCTGGCAACCACTAATCTGTTGTCTATTAATTTTTCTCGTTAAAAAAATTATATAAGTGGGATTATAGTGTGCAACCTCTTGGGATTGGCTTTCACCACTCCAGCATAATTTCTTGAAGACTGATCCATGTTGTATACATACTTTGCTCCTTTTAATCGCTGAGTAGTATATCTTGCTGAGTTATGCATGTACATCTGTAAGTGTGCATGCAGACAGCAGAGTTTAACCACTCACCTACTGAAGACACCTGGGCTGATTCTAGTTTTTGGCTGTTGTAAGTAAGGCTATGATCAATCATGTACAGGTTTTTGTGTGAACATAAACATTTAGTTCTCTGGGAGGAGAATACCCATTAGTGGAATTGCTGGTGGCAGTGCGTGTTTAGTTTTTAAGAGATTGCCCAACTGTTTTCCAGAGTGGCTATATTATTTTGCATTTTCACCGGCAATGTATAAGTGATTCAGTTTCTCTACATCCTGTCCAAGATTTGGTGACGCCACTATTTTTTGTTGTAGCCATTTGAATGGTGTATTGATATTTTTCTGCTCTTTATCATTTCCTTCAGGATATATTCTCATATCCACTTTCCAGCTGTCTTTTATTCCTTCCCTTTAAAATTTGCTAGTCTTCACCTTCTAATTTATATTAATTTTCTGGGTTTTTTTAATGAATTTTTGAAAACCACCATAAATCCTTGCTCGGTATAAAGAAGTGAATAAAAACCTATGCAAAGGTAAAAGTAGTTTCTTTGCTGTCTTTCCCTCATGTGGTAGAATAAGCCTTGAACGTACTTTTCTGTTTCATCCTGTAAAGCCAAGGTCCCTTCATGACTGTAGACTGTCCCACGTTAGCTCATGGACAGGATTATTGCTGTTGTTGTTATTATTAGTATTTTAATACTGAGGCTGAAATATGTACTCCTAAAGAAGCAGCTTCCTCATTTTGAGTTTTTCTTGGCAATTTTGTGAGCTTGGCTTGGTGACTCTTGCCATTTATATGCACCCTGCCGCCTTCTGCTGAACTACACACAAATAAATAGACCGGGACAGAGCCCCATTCTTTTTAGGGCCACGTGTGTGGTCTCTTCACTTGAGTTTTTTCTTTGAGTCACTGATGCCAATGTGTCTTTGACTCAGGTTTCTGGGCTGTTCCCTCACTTGATTGGCAGCAACTAATTCTAAATCGATTCCATGCTAGTCAGTATTCTTTCACTTAATCCTCACAAGAAACTCAGAGGTAGTTGTTATTCCTCTCACTTCGTAAGTGAGAAGACAGACCTATACAAGGGTCAGGGGCCCTGCTCAAAAGCAGCTGAGCTCCAAGAGCCCAGGTTCTGGTGCTGGAATGCCTGGGTTCCCATCTGGGATCTGAACTTCCCCAGTTGGATATCTTAGGCAAGTTACCTAACCCTTCTAAGCCTTAGTTCCCGCTTGTGAAAAACGGGAACAAACACTGATGGGGTTGCTATGGGGATTAGATGTCACAGTCCATATTCAGTGTCAAGTTTAGTGCATTTTCCAATGCAATTTCTCAATGAATGTCGATCTAAGTGTTGTTGTTATTATCATTATTATTTCACTTAATAAGTGGAAGAGGTGGCATACAAACTGAGGGTTCTCTGACCCTCAGGCATGTGCTCTTAGCCACACGTTAGACTGCTCGTGACTACAGCCAAATAGCCCACGGCTCTCCATCAGAGGCAGGATCTTTTACTTCTGCAGCTGAGAAGACTTCGTGGCGTCGCTCTGTGTTCCAGTGTCACCATCTCTTTGATGATATCTCTTAAATTATTTAGCCTGTTTCAATGTCAATTCTTCACATTAAAATAGAGCTAACACCTCTAAGAGTTGTGAAAATTAAAGAAGATGTTTGATGGAAAGGGTCTCACATGGTCTCCGGCCCACACAGATGCTTAACAAATATTATCATTAGGTAATAAGTACCCATTGTTATTAATAAACATTATTATAGGTGAATAATAATTATAATAGTAACCAGTAACCTCGTTACTCATGTAGAATTATAAATAAATAATTATTTTAATAAACCGGAGCTGGTTGTTTATATAAAAAAGTAATAGCAGGTGGCCTTTGGAATACCTTTGGCCTTCCAGGGTTAGGAGTTTCATAATAAGTTTGGTTCTTTCCCCAGAACACTGAAATAGTGAATAAGCAACAGAGAATGTCCACACACAGTTTAAACCTCCTGCACAGACTTGGTGCCCCAGGCAAATGGATATGCCCAGCCCTGGACAGGATAGAGTGTCAACTAACCCAATACAAGCTGTCCATTTCAGTCCATCGTTTGATGCTTTTGGCAGACTCGCTGAGCCTGTAGGCCTCATGGCGAGTGGGTGGTCATTTTCATTAGAGGGGGCCTGGGTGTGGGGGAAGTTTTCTCTGATTCAGTCAGACTTGGATTGAATCATAGCTTCACCACTTGGGAGCAAGTTAGCTCAAGGTGACACCAAACAGGTTTTGATCTGGAATATGGGAACAATGACACTTTTAGGTAGGGGTGTGTGTGTGTGTGTGTGTGTGTGTGTGTTTTAATGATAGGAGAAGCGGGTAAAGCACTTAGCCCAGTGTTCAGCCTCTACCCCCTTCTCCTTAGGTCAAGGCCGAGACTTGGGGGACATGAGTTTTATTTTCAGCTCTGTTGAGGAATTTTTCTGGGTTTCATTTTTCTCTTTCTGGAAAATGGCGTGAAACCCTCCTGTGAGGTAAAGTTGTCATGCAAGGTTAGAATAAAGCTGGAGTCAGCAAACTTCTTGTGCAAAAGACCAGGTAGTAGATATTTGGGGCTACCCAGGCCACCCTGGCCTCTGCCGAAGATGCTTTGTCGTTTGTTTTTTCCAACCCTTTAAATGTGTAGAATTCATCCACAGCTGGGTCATGGACTGTAATTTGCAGAGCCCTGGTATGAATACTGGAATGTCAGACCTGGAGGAGGTCTCACCCAGCACTCGCGCTGGACGGCAAGCACGTGGACGTAGCCCCAAATAACTAGTGACCTTTTCTGTTACTTCATTCTTTTTAAAAGGAAGGGTCTGAACAATTGCAAAGGATTTTTTACTGTTTAGATTAGTCACGTGTTTCAAATAATATTTGTCTTTATATCAAAGTTCCATTGCAATTACTACAAACAAATTGTGACAACTAAAGAAAAAGAGCTTTGGAGGTTTTAAGAGTGAGAAATCAGGTTTTCAGAAATTTAATTCCTCAGAAAGTGTTTCTGAAGAAAAATCCCCTGCTCAGAAACACAAGATATATGAAAACATCACTGCCGTGTGTGTGTGTGTGTGTGTGTGTGTGTGTTTTCCTCTTTATCCCTCCCTCTCGGTCCTGGTTTTAAGTTACTATAGAAAACCTTTATTTTAGGTTTTCTATACGTTTCAAAGAGATTTTTAAGGTGAGGGAAGGCTTGCCATTAAAACCTTAGATTCACGTGTGTACCTGTGCTTATGTTCCTACATTTTACTTATTGTTTTATTTAGTCACTTTCAGCAGGAGGGGTAGAATTATAATATATTAGGGACGGGGAAAATTGTCATTGGCCAAGGATTTTTTTCTCTCTTCCTTTCTTCGTCCCTTGTATTTTTCTGTATAATTCTGACCTGGAACGTCCCCTTGGGGACACCTGCATTTCCACCCTTTTCGGTCGCCCTTTCTTCAGGCAACACCGGGATTCTTTTTGTCTTTAGCCTCCTATCGCTTTATTCGTTTGATCATATTAACAAGTTTGTTATGTTGTGTTTGTTATGTGTGTTTTGTTTGTTGTATGTTATGTTTTCTGTGTTTCTTGGCATTTACTACTTTTGTCAGGATGCTTTTGGTGTATTTATTTGAAGAAAGGGCTTCTCTAGGCTCACAGTTAGGTGCACAGCCAAGCCAAATATCTTTCTCATACATGGACTGTTATCAGCCAAGGTAGCAGTGAAGTAGGGGAAATAAATACACATGAGAAGACTCTGTTTTCTCTAATGGAGACGTAAAAGCAGCGAACCTCAGCTGCTGAGATGACCCCTGGGTAGTGAGGACACTATGTATAGAAGAAATATCACAACTGGGTATGCCAGCCTGGGAGAACAGAAAGGATTCTGACCTGAAAATGTGACCTTGGGCAAGTCACTTTACCTGTCTGGACCTTTGTTCCATCTTAAAGGCAGGATTAGATAAGATTTGGAATTCCTGTGATCTATGAATTCTGTGAGTTAACAGAACCATATTATTGTTTCTTTTTATTAAAACAGTTGTGGAAAAAGTGGTGGGATAATTGGGCACATGGATGCTCTCGGATGAAAGAAGAGTCTGGTACTTTTACTTCCTTATAAGAATATAATTACTTATACAGGGGCTTACTAGAGTAGTGTAATTATCCACATAACTATATATATATGACTCATAGTTACTGAATATTTACTGTATGCCAGGGATTCTGCTAAGCATGTTACTTAGAATATCTCATTTAATACCCGCTCCTACTCCACAAGGTAGTGTACTAATATCTTTGTATTAAAGAAGAAACGGGGGCTTCCCTGGTGGCGCAGTGGTTAAGAATCCGCCTGCCAGTGCAGGGGACATGGGTTCGAGCCCTGGTCCAGGAAGATCCCACATGCCGCGGAGCAACTAAGCCCAAGCGCAACTACTGAGCCTGCGCTCTGGAGCCCGCGAGCCACAACTGCTGAGCCCGCAAGCCACAACTACTGAAGCCCGTGCGCTCTAGAGCCTGCGAGCCACAACTACTGAGCCCACGTGCCTAGAGCCCACGCTCTGCAGCAAGAGGAGCCACCGCAATGAGAAGCCCGCACACCGCGAGGGAGAGTCGTCCCCGCTCACCGCAACTAGAGGAAGCCCGCACAGAGCAACAAAGACCCAACGCAGCCAAAAATAAATAAATTAAAATAAATTTTAAAAAGAAATGGGAGTTCAGAGATTAAGTGATTTAAATGCAAATGTATTTTATTCCAAATCCCACACTATCCCACACTTTATGCTGCTTTATTTTACCCATGAGCTTTCACCTTAATCCTAAGGACAGATCTCTCCAGTCACATCTGATTTGGGAAGGTCGTATTTGACCAGATGTCTCATGTTTTTTTTCCTCCCCTTCTCTTTCTTAGGCCACCTCGAGATTTAGACTCCAAAGCTTGCATTTCTATTGGAAATCAGGTGAGAAAAATCATGTCTGCCAGTTAACATCGTGACCATTTTACATGGATGCTTTCCAACTGGCCAACGAAAAAACTGTATTTTCTGTAACATGCTGTCAGGGGCGGTGGGTCAATAAAGTCTGAATGTAAACGGAAATGGTCTGTGGAGCTCTTGCTGTTTTGAATGTCGAACTGAAATCGGGCTGTTGTGGTCCTGAGGGAAGGTATTTGAAGCGAGTAGATGGTGCTCTTTGGGGTAGATTCGTCGAAGTCCAGGCCTAGATCTAGCTGCCATCAGCCAACAAACGAGGGGCAGGGCTAAAGAACCACGGTGCAGAGTTAGCCTTCACCGAGCCATGTGGAGGCTCAGTCGGAGCTGGATGTCTGTATTGCCCGTGACGAGCAGGTGCAGTAGGGTCTACCCATCTCCCGTGCACTTCTTGCTTTCAGTAGCTGCTTGGAAAAGCTTCTAGACCAGAAAGTTCTGGACTAGAAAGAGCCCCTAGAACGCTGGGAGAAACTAGAGAGAGGACAAGGTAGCCTGTGTCCAGTTTATTTCCCTTTTTCCTATTGTATTCTTGCTTTTCTCTCCTGCAGAACTTTGAGGTGAAGGCGGATGACCTGGAGCCTATAGTGGAGCTGGGCCGGGGGGCGTACGGGGTGGTGGAGAAGATGCGGCATGTGCCCAGCGGGCAGATCATGGCGGTGAAGGTAGAGTTCCCCTTCCCCAAACGTTTTCCATCCCTGATTTATGTGTTTGTCCATCTCAAGCACAAACCAGCTCTCTTCATATAAGCAAAACAATCCTCCGTGGGGTGAAACAGAAAAGCTTATTCATAGGGAACAATATTCCCCTCCAAATATGTGAAATATGCTTCCTTGGCATGAGTTACATCAACTAGGTTTTTTTAACTGATAAATCCGACCCCTCCTTTTAATTTTTTGTGCAACCACCGCCATCGTCACCACACGTCAAAGAATCAATAATAGCTCTTCAACGTCATCTAATAGTTGTTGCTGTTTTTTCTCCTGCTGGTTTTTCAAATCAGAATCCAAACAAGAGCTCACATATGGCATGGTTTTGTGTCTCGCAAGTGTCTTTTTAACCCTTATTCTGTTGCTTTTAAAGAATTGTCCCTGAAAATCAGGAAACCCGAACTGAGGGCGGAAATTGTCTCCGTTTGTGGGAAAAAGGAGGGTAAAATCATCTTGAGCAAATTTGCATAGCTTTTGAGCTATAAAAAGAAATTTAGAATCATTGCAAATTTCTTGAGTAGATGTTGGAAGGACCTTGGAGAATGACCAACGTATTAATTCTAGATGAACTGTTAGGAATGTGGGTGGTCAGATGACTGGGATGCCTCTTTTTGGAGAATGGAGATATCTTTCCCTTACCTTGTAGATTTTTCAGTTTCTTCTTCTGCAGGCTCTTTGCTACATAGGCAAAAAATGTGAAAGCCTCGTGATATTATATCGTCTTGTCATTTAATGACATAATCGTGTTTCTGTAAGGCTACATTTGCTGGTGTGACAAGTTTCTCTTCTCTCAGAAGCCCTGGGGTAGGAATGAACAGTTTCTCCATTTCAGTTTGATTCCTCCTCTTTCCTTTCCTGAATCAATTCTCTTACAGTTGCTGTTCAGTCCAAATATTCTTACTTGTTCACAAAGAGGGGCTTTTGGCTTTTTTTTTTATAGGACCCCAAATCAGCCCGAAATCAATTAATACTCTGACCTCTTTGCACTAAACCCACATAATAAATCAGACTGTTTTTATAACTTGGAAATGCATTCCCAAACATCTGCACACTCTCCAAAATATATTATCAGTTTGCTCCTTACTGGGGGTTATTCGGGAAATCAAATGAATAACGGTCTTCCTTCCTTTTCATTCGTTACAAACAGCTAATCCTTCAGGGTAGATATCTGAAGGGCTGTTTCTGGAAGTTGTGCTGTGGATTTTGGTACCATTCTCAGGATGGGACGCTTCAAGGTCCCTCTGCCTTATTACCAGACTCATCCTCGGAGCAGTAACCATACATTTTTCATGCATTCCCATTCAGCGGATCCGGGCCACAGTAAATAGCCAGGAGCAGAAAAGGTTACTGATGGATTTGGATATTTCCATGAGGACCGTGGACTGTCCTTTTACGGTCACCTTTTATGGCGCACTCTTCCGTGAGGTAGGTGATCCTTCCCTTCAAACTCCAAGGAGAGCGATAGCTTAACAAGAAGTTTCCTTGATCACATAAATGCCATACGTAGTCACAGTGCTCTTTCTTGTTTGACGTGTCTTCTGTAGAGTTTCATGCTTGTGAAATGTTGGTGCAAAGTTGGCTTGAAACCACGGTATTTTCAAATGCATTTAGCCCTTTTAAATGGCTGAGGCCCCCTTTCTCCTTTCTGTTTTGGTTTGTCTATTTTGCCAGAACTGTCTCTATCAAGAGTCTGTAGACTGATTTGGATAGATTCCTTAAAACCTGAAATCCTCTGGTCTTTTGGCCTCTTGCTATACTTCAGGTAGCCTTGTGTACCACGTGGGCTTACACTTACCTCTTTGCTCTGCCTCTCTTTTTCACTTCACGATGATGTGGGTTACGATGCTTCATCTCCCTCTTAAAACCAGCCTTTTGATAAACTACCACCAGCGGTCAGCCTGGGAGGTCAGACATGGAGTAGGTATCTGGACTTAACTCCTGGAGGGCAGTGACAGTAAAGGCTTAGACTTCTGAGTTCTATTGCTTGTGGCTATTAGTGTGTAGATCCTAGTTTTCATTAAGGAGTGGGTGATCACCTGCAAGTCGGCTTGGCTGTCTGCTAGTTTGTTCTTTGGAGGTAATCTTGCCTGTTTATAAATCCCTTTGAGAGCTTGAAGGGATTAGTACATTTCCTCCAAAACTCAAGCAAGAAACCGTCCGTTCTTCCTGACAGGTGTTAACTGTTTCCTCCTTTTTTCCCTTTTCCATCCTCTCTAACCACCTCTGAACCGACCGGCCTCTAGGGGGATGTCTGGATCTGCATGGAGCTCATGGACACGTCCCTAGATAAATTCTACAAACAAGTGATTGATAAAGGCCAAACAATTCCAGAGGACATCTTAGGGAAAATAGCAGTTTCTGTGAGTACATCAGGAAGCCTACTTCAAGGAGCATGTGAGAGGTCTGGGCCTTATGTGTCCCTGTACCCCCAGTATGGGGAAACACTACCTGGACCATAGCTCCCATCCCGTACGTGTCTGTTGAATGCATGAGTGCATCTGTGGATGGATCAACTAATGCTTTTCTTTCCGGGCATTATGTAAAAGAGTCTGCTCCTGACTTGGTTGGGTAAACTCTCAGTTAAAGTGCCTCTAAGCAGTACATTCGTCTGTTATGACCACGTTCCTGGTGTCTCTGTCCTGATACTAGTTGATTTTGATTTTCATTTGTAGAGTTTTAAATGTTTTCTTAGGATCAATAGGCAGAGGAGGAAGCAGGAGAAAATGAAATGAAGGGCTGCTCCCTTCATGGTTCCTGAGGCCCAGGAGGGTGGAGAGAAAAAATGCTGGAGGCCAAAATGAAAATCAAAATGTATGAGTGAGGCATCCTCTCTGCTATGGGGTATAGTCCTCTCTGGTGTGCGGAATCCAATTTGTATGACTTCCTGTGTATTTTCCTGGATAGGAACACCACTATCTGAGAAGATACTTCTCCTTGTGACCTTAAGCCAGGGAGGATAAACCTGGATATGCTTAACACTCAGTTTCTTTCCAGTGATGGCGGGAAACAAACCCACCTTGTGTTTCTCTTGCAGATTGTAAAAGCATTAGAACATTTACACAGTAAGCTCTCTGTCATTCATCGAGGTAAGTATCCATGGAGCTGCCTTGGCTGTTCCTTTTATCAATTTTATTTCTTTTACCTGAGTTTTATCTTTTTTTTTTATTCCCCAGTGGATGGAATTGAGTCAGGCAAGAGAATGGAGGGGTTTTCCTTTGGGACTGGATAGCAAAATCATATACAAGTAGCTGTTCTTTAACTTGTCTGAGGGCATCAGAAGACGTGGGCTTTATATTAAAACTTGAATATAAAATGCCTGTTACCAAGCAGAGCTGTGGTATTACCCATTGAGAACTTTAGAGAATAGGATAAAAATTCACCTAGTATTGGCCGTCACCCGAGAGCTTGTTAGAAAAGCAGAATCATGGGTCCCAAGACCAACTGAATCAGAATCTGCATTTTAACAAGATTCCCAGGTGATTCTTGTGCACATGAAAGTGGTATAAAGCACAGCCCTTTCAGACAGCAGGAGTCAGGATAAGATGAAAAAATTGGAAGATATGGCTCTTCCTCTTCTCCCTCCTTCCTTTTCTCCCTTCCTGTTATCTTTTCATCCATCCATCCATCCATCCATCCATCCTTTCTTCCATCTTTCTTCCATGCCTCCAACCATCCATATACCTTTTGCAATCACTGTCCAACATGTACACAGCACTATGTTTACACAGCACTATAATAGATGCCCTGACAGGTATCTGAGAAAAAAATATATTCTTATTCAAATTCTACATAGGGATTCTTGATAGGGAAATAAGACAAATATATAACAAACACCTGGCGAAAAAACCACATAAAAAAAAATGAATGTACCACATATGGAACTAGTAGAGGTAGAATACAAAACAAGAAAATGATTAGTACTGGGTGACCATAGTCAAGGAAAGCTTCTTGGAAGAGATATGTTTAATCAGGTCTCTGAAAAAATTTATGGAAAGTATTGATCGCTAATAGGGTATTGTGATTTGATAATTCTTACACTCTCTGAGCCTGAAAGTAATGTAAGATGCTTCAAAGAGTATTCCTATTATGATTGTTATTATTATTATTCATTGTTATGATTAAAAATGGGGAAAATAGGGAGGAAGAGAAAAAGAAGAAAGTGGGAAGGAATTCAGATAGGAAGAAGAATGTGGATTATCCACAAATGTGAAACTGAATTTTAAAGGCTTATTCCAAAATTATAAAATGTTTCACTCATAGTAGAGAATGTTTATAAAGTATAAAAAATAATAAAATGAAATTTGTTTATCTGTTGTTTAAGGGAAAAATGATAAAGGATAGTCTTTAAAGTTTTTAGAATAACTTTCTTCTTTTGAGTACATGCCCTTCGGGAAAAGTGTCACTAGGGAAAAAGTTAACTGTAATTTCTAATTCCATTATCAAGACATAACAATGGTTCATCTCTTTGGGGAGTGCGTTATCTCTCTCGAGACTGAAGGATTCATTTAAGAACTGTAGAATGAAACTTCTTTATCCACATGTATACCCTGTGACCTGCCTCCTGGTCTGGAATATCTGGGTTTATGATGAGTTAACACCTTGTGACCTCTGACACACTTCCGGCAGAAGCATCCATGAAAACTGGCGGCTTTGATCGTATTTGGTGTATCGTTATGTCACAGTCTGCCTTTTCATTCCACTAAATGCGCAACAGGTCATCATGAACCGGGCTTGTAAAACACTATTTTACTGTCACAAGAACACTTAGCATGAGCTCTACCCTCATAACAAATTCTAAGGGGCACAATATAGAATTGTTCATTACAGGGGCAATGTTGTAACGGCTGATCTCTAGAACTTATTCATCTAACATAACAGAGATGATTGGCCCATGGGGCTAGGCGTTTAATTCAATCATCAATTTTTAAGTTCTTACTGCATGTATGAGGGCAACGAAGATGAGAAATTAGATAGAGGAAACAGTGTTTTCCATTGATGGATTCCCAATCCGACAAGAAGGACACAAGGTGAAATAGAACAGGGGTCCCCAACCCCTGGGCTTTGGACTGGTACCGGTCCGCGGCGCGTTAGGAACTGGGCCGCACAGCAGGAGGTGAGCGGCGGGCGAGCGAGTGAAGCTTAATCTGCCGCTCCCAGTCGCTCCCCGTTGCTCCCCACGGCTCCCCACCGCTCCCCATCGCTCGCATTACGGCCTGAACCATCCCCGCCCACCGCCAGCCCCCCCGTGGAAAAACTGTCTTCCACGAAACCGGTCCCTGGTGTCAAAAGGGTTGGGGACCGCTGAAATAGAAAGCAGACTACTAACCCAAGATCCAGCAGAACAAGAACTAATGACATTAGACTGAATGAACTAATGAAAAACATTTCTGTGACTACTCATTCTAAATACTGCTGAAATCATTTTATGGTCTATCTGCCACGTATATAAGAATGTCCTTTCTCTTTCTTCCAAGCTTTCCGTAATCCAAATCAACTTAGTAAATTCTACTTTTGTAAATTGAAATAAAACATTTGAAAATGATTAAGAAAAAGAAAATCAAGTTGACTTTTCCCCCTTTTCTCAGCTTTGATGTTTTTCTTTCTTTAAAAAGTTTTTATTTTATGTTGGAGTAGAGTTGATTTACAATGTTGTATCACAGGGGTGGCGGTTACTTCTGCATTGGGTCTTGAGAAGAAAGTGAAGGGGAAGGAGGAAGGGAGGTTCCAGGGCCCCTGGTGGCAGAGGGATGCTATTACCACCCTGGGCTCCTGACTGTTCTTGCTTTCAGATGTCAAGCCTTCCAATGTGCTCATCAACACCCTGGGCCAGGTGAAGATGTGCGATTTTGGAATCAGCGGCTACCTTGTTGACTCCGTCGCTAAAACTATCGATGCAGGATGCAAACCGTACATGGCCGTAAGTACAGCAGCCGGGGGTGGCATCGAGAATGTAACTGCCTTCAAACCATGCCAGGAAATAGGAAAGGGACGGCCAGGGAGGGAAAACAGAGATGTGCCTAAGATGCAAGAAATATTCTGCATCTTCTTTTTTCTTAATATTTCCTGTCTGAAATACTGAATCCCTTCCTTCATATGTATTCTTTAAAAAAAAAAAAAAAAAATCAGGTAAAGGGGACTTCCCCGGCAGTCCAGTGGTTAAGACTCCACACTTCCAATGCATGGGGTGTGGGTTTGATCCCTGGTTGGGGAACTAAGATCCCACATGCTGTTCGGTGTGGCCAAAAAAACACAACAAAACAAAAGACCTTACACAATATTATATGTCAACTATATCTCAATAAAACTGGAAAAATAAAATAAAATTTAAAACTATGCAATGGATTACGTTGCCTATGTTTCTACAAATCACTCTTTAAAAATATCAGGCAAAGAGGTATATTCTTTGAAAAAGCAGGTGGGTAATACACAGAGCCCACACAATTTTCCACACTGTGTTACAAGGGAATGCTGCCTTGTTTGTTGAGAACAGAAGAAAGAATTTAAATTCCCCAAACAAGTCAGTTAAGTGAGTCCTGAAGGAACCTCATAGCTATGGAGGTTCATTGTCTTTAGCAGAGACTCCCTTTAACTTAAGGGACTTCTACTGTAAATATTCTACTTGGAAATGAACCTGCTCTTAGAATTGAAAAGCTTTCTGTCCATGTTTAGCTAAAAGTTGTTGAGGTCTATTAACACCAGACAGTAGCCCAGCGACTCTGTTGACTCTTTTTACTGAGTTCTGGACCGCTGGTCTTTTAAACAAGGCAACTTCTAGGCTGACAAAGTAATTTTGTCATGTATATCATGTTCTTCATAAGGCAGAATTGAAATTGCTTTTGAACTGAGAGGGGACTTTGATCCATTACTGTCTCCAAGAAAAGACGTGTGGAGAATGAGGAAAATCCCATGGAGACGTTGTTATTTATTGTAGTTAGTGAGCCTCTTGGCCTGGGAGGTATGTTAACAGCTCACAGCAGCTCACTGGGCAGCTGGTGACCCTCTCAGCCCTGAGCCTTTATGGAGCCAGGAATGTCATCTCAGCTGTCTTTTTCTGTCTCCTTTCCAGCCCGAGAGAATAAACCCAGAGCTCAACCAGAAGGGATACAGCGTGAAGTCCGACATTTGGAGTCTGGGCATCACCATGGTAGTGTATGATAATCATCGTGGACCAGGGTGTTCGGGGCATGAAGTTGGAATGGGGTGAGCCTGGAGAACAAGAGGCAGGTGCCTGAGACGCCGGTCTGAGAGAGCAGGAGATTTGGAGCGACCATTGTTTGCAGTGTGGTGTAGCAGAAATACGGAACTGGGATTGGACAAAACACACTTCTCTTGATTCTACCTCCAAGTAGCTGTGTGCCCCTGATTCACTGATGGAATCACACAGGCTGTCTCACTGTCCTCATCTGTAAATGAGAGGGTCTGACTACCGTTCCGGATAGTTTTCTTTATGGTTTAAAATTAAATTATTCTAATCAAGGCATGCAGAAGCTTAAGCTACTCAAAGAGCGCTAATGTGTGTGGACCCTGATGGAGCTTTTTATTTCTTTTTCAATTTTTACTTTATGTCGGAGCATAGTTGATTAACAATGTTGTGTTAGTTTCACGTGTACAGCAAAGTGGTTCAGTTACACATGTATCTATTCTTATTCAAATTCTTTTCCCATTTAGGTTATTAGAGAATATTGAGCAGAGTTCCCTGTGCTGTACAGCAGGTCCTTGTTGGTTATGTTTTAAATATAGCAGTGTGTACATGTCAATCCCAAACTCCAAATCTATCCCCCGCCCCAGACCCTGATAGAGCTTTGTTATCCAGGACATGGGCTCAGCTTCCCAGAACATGGTTATGACAGAAGTCTTGGCTGTTGAGTACAGGTAGAGCCCAAACTCACAGTAGCGCACAGGGTAATTTTCTCAGGCACAGGCCCAAAGGTGCGCAGGGAGTGCGTGATGCGTAACTTTGCCGATTACGCACTTTCGGTGTGTCGCCGAGGTCTGCAATGACCCCTGGTGGTCCTGTTTCCTTCCCAGACACGGCAGCTGACTAAATCCTGTGCGTTACTTCACATCCCTGCCCAGAAAGCGCGTGCTCTTGTCCCAGCAAAGTGGCCTTCACTCAAGTCCAAACAAAGATCAGCCATCTGGTCCTGGTTGTTTGCTTGTCTTTAGTTCTAGCGCGCTCCCAGCAGATGGCGGCAGATGTACAGCTCTGTACGAGTCTTAGGGTGAGAATCACTGTTTAGACTCAACATTTGAAAACCTGGTCGCTTTACATCCCGAAGTTTCATACCGCTGGCTTACAATTTTATGAAGCGCCACATCGGGTTTTAGGGAGGACCCAGTTTTAAGTAGGCTTAAGTGGCTGTCTCCGGTACGACGTAATCTGCAAACCCCTAGCACTAGGACTTGGAGGAAAACTGCTAGAGAACAGGGCATTAGTTTTCCCCCTCCCGCCAGTTTACCTGATGGTCACCATCGTGCCTCCCTCTGGCTCTCCTGGAGCCAAGTGGATTCCCTAGCGGACCCCCTCTTTACCTAAGCACCCCGTGTAAGCTCCTGTCTCCTTGTGTCCCTCTCCCCTCTAGATCGAGCTGGCCATCCTCCGGTTTCCCTATGATTCGTGGGGAACTCCTTTTCAGCAGCTCAAACAGGTGGTGGAGGAGCCGTCGCCACAACTCCCGGCAGACAAGTTCTCCGAAGAGTTTGCTGACTTTACCTCACAGTGGTAAGACAGCCTGTCTCTCAGAGGCCAGCGTGAGGAAACAAGAGGAGTTCTCATGACTTTCCCCCGTCGTTTTAATCCACGATGCACGCGTCCATCCCCAAAGCACTGACGGGCCTGTCCTTGCTGCTGAGCAACAAAGATGGCTCTGCCCCTCCCCCGCTGAGCTCAGAGCCAAGGAGGGCGCGTCCACAGTCAGTCATGCTAGTCCACACTGCAAGTCCAGACATGGAGACATGCACAGGGTATTTGGGGGACGCAGAGGAACAGCGCTGGGTTGAGCTTCTGGAGGAAATAAATGCTGGGCTGGGACCCTGTGAGGTACGTCCAAGCGAAAGGGAAATAGGGGAGGAAGAGGTATTCCAGGCAGAAGGGACACCGTGCATCATACCGCAAAAGGGAGAAACTCTTTTATGGGAATTTCAAGCCATGTGATGTTGACCGGAGCATAAAGAGGTGGGCGACCCACCGGAGGGTTAGGGATGAAAAGTAGGTATGACACAAAGAACCACCCTGGATAAGAAGACAGAGGCTATTTTCAGAGCCTCCCTTAGGTACCTAGAAGTCTTACAAAGCAGTTCTAGTGTCTGTAGGCTGATTCTTACAGAACACTTGCTAACTTACGGACGTGCTTGCCCATAAGTGTACAGTGGACAGTACTGGGCGGGGGGGGGGGGCGGTCTGAGAAGGGAAAATAAAAAAAGTTGGAAGGAACCGTGCTAATGCTGTAAACTTTGTTTTCATGGAAATTGAAAGTGGAATTGAGGAAACTTGGAGAGGGGATTGTTTTCTCCGGAAAATCTAGTGATTTCTGTCTGCGTAGGGAACATGATGCTTGGCATGCTTTGATACTAATGACCATCGCAAGTGATGCTGGAAAGAGGAGGCTGCGTTGGAGATGAGGTGGTTTATCCGGGCGCCTCCGGAGCAGATGAGACTTGGGGGAAGGGACTCAGAGGTGGCGAGAAGCCCAGCTGCGGTCCTTGGAGAAGGGCAGTCGGGCTGCTGGCTGCTAAGGGAGGGGCTGGTGTTCTGAAGGCTGCTGAGAGTCTGGCTTCCTCAAGGTTATCGTTCCTCGGCCTCCACGCCCTTTGGAAGAAGCCTTCTGAGTATGGCTTTTATCAGGAAACAGGATTAAGCCCAAGCAGCTGCCTATTGCTTATGAAACTAAGGCCCTTGGACTTTTCATCGGCTCTAAGCCCATGTCGCCCCGGGTACCTTTCCCGAAGGATATATGAGGCTGAGCTGCCACAGTTTGTTTCTGGGGTAGTTTTGGCTGAATGGCCAGAGAGGGCTGTAGGACAGTGTGCTGCTGGGTCCTCCTAATACGTGCATCCTCTGGGCTCTGGGAATGCATCCTCCTCTCTGCTCTCCTTGCCTGAGTATGCAAGGAGTGGTGGTACACCTGCCAGGCTGAGATGGCTTCCGGCTTTTGCCTTCTGGTTTTGAGAACTTGGTTTTTGGTTTTGATTTTTGTTTTCCTTACCCTCAAATGTTTAAAGGTCACCTAGGAAATGGACTGAGGCATCTTTGACAGTTCACACCGACAGTTCTCCAGAAGGGTGATAGTGGAGAAGGAGCTTCTGTAAGGAAGCCTTTTCAAGCTCTGCACTATGTAAGCTTTCTCCCACCTGGCCCCCTTTCCCGAGACTCTGGGAACTTCAGGAAGCCTTGCTAAGAGCAAGGCTGGTGTGAAAGGTCTGAGAAAGCCACGCTGCCTGTTGTGAACCGGCGGTTTAATCCGACAGTTCTCAACTCCGGCTGCTCGTTTCTAAGATGTGCCGTCACCTAGGCCTCGGCCTCAGAGACTTTGATCTAATTGGCCTGGGGAGTGTCCTGAATAACAGTCCTGTTCAAATGTTCTCAAATCCTTCTACTCTAGGGCTGCGGTGAGAACCCATGATTCACATCTATGCTCTAGAGACCCGTTATTAATTTCTTCCTATTCAGAAGGCTCCTTTTCATCTGCAATTTACTGAAAAATCGTTGGATGACTTTTTCTTTTACCAGTTTTCTTCTCCTACTTAGAACTTCCCCTAAAGAGTCAGAGTGTTAAAGCTTTTTACAGATATCTTAAAAATGAAAGCTTTGGAAAAAATACATGTTTTCTAACTTTAGCGCACGCACACGTTTGTGGAAGGTGCAGACACCTGTGCTACTGCTGTTCATGTAGCAGCCGCCCTGGCCGGCCCTCCCCGCCGCACAGCATAAGAGTGTCCTCATGGCCACCCCTCTGAGGTCTCTGTTTCCCTCTCGTTTTCTCTCATTTTTAGTCCCAGCTACTGTGGTTCATTAATTTAAAATTTCTGAGCCATAGACATTTTCCAGCTTTCTCGGAATTGTTAATTCCGTTAATAACTGTTGATTCTCTGTCATTTCATTTGTACTCAAGTCATCCAGTCTAGCTTGTTTATGGGCTTATTTAAAAAAATAATAATAATTGAAACAAAACTCAAATCGCTTTAACTTTGAAGTTGTCAAAGAATAAATTCTTCCTCCGACTTTTGAGTGTGGTAGCTCCCGTAGAATCTGATACCTAAGATCAATTGTGTAAAATAGTCATTTTTGTTGGTATGAGAATTGAGAAGTTGAAGGGGAGCATTAATTCTGAATTTTATGAGCATTCCTACTTATCCTCAGTCGGAGTTTTTAAGAGTCCCAGGCTCTCCTGTTTCAGATGCCAGGTGCATCGTTCTTTGCCTACCGTAAACCACCAATATATTTTCTTTGATACCCCCTTAGTGTGAACATTGTTTTGAAGTCAACTGAGTTGGGAAAGTTGTCTAATACTTCAAAAAAGAGTATTGATTTTTTGGGGGATTTTATGAATGGCTTAGATATTTATGGAGGCAATTTTACTTTTCACATGTATTAGCATACAGATACACACCTGCCCACAATAGCAGTCTAGGTATTCACTTGTTTTATTACTGACAGTTTTAAGTTTGATTTGGGGCTGGGTGGAAAGAATGGAAAAATGATCATTACCTATAAAACACCTCTTTTATTTCTTGATGAAAGAAAGATGTAGCCTATGAGTGTTATCTCCCTTTTATACCTGGTTCCTCCATTTTCCTGTGTATTTTTGAGGCACACCTTCATGAAAGGACCCCTTTTTGAGTGACCTCTGTGTGTATTTTTATGATATAGTCAGGCTATGATCCTTCAGGACTTCTCAAAAAGCCCAACTCTTTGTGGAAAGTGGGGAAGAAGGACTACAGATTTGGACAGCGAAAAACTTAATCTCAAATTTTGGGAAAGATGCATCTGTGTCTTTATTTCCTACGTCTGTCTTTGGGTTAAATGTAGAACAAGAAGAAAAAGGGTGCATTACTCACGGCTTAGGTGGCCTGTCAGGGTATCTGTGACCTTCCGTGGGAAGCGTCCACCATAAGCATCTGATGGCATCGCAGCCGCGCACCTTCATCCAGGGCATCAGCTTGGTAGTCACTCTCCTCTGGTCACTGCTGGTCAATTGACAGTAAAGTGCAGTTTGAGGGGTGGAGTAGAGGCACTTACTGGCTATCACTGTCATATCCAAAGTTATGATATGATAGAGCCCAGAGATCCGGCTGGTATCTTTCTTTTGTAGCAGCATCAGAGAAACGTTATCCTCTGAGTTGGGGTAAGGGTTGCGGGGAGGAGAGAAAAGAAAAGAAAAGAAAGTTAAGGCATTTACTCCTTATGAACTTGAAGAAAACAACAACAGCAACGATACCTTACAAACCCCTCCTTTCTGTACTGATTTTGAAACAGGACCAGCGAATGACATGTTCTTCCTCTTTTTTCCCTACACTTGGCTTTCTTATCTTAGGGCTTTTGAAGAGTTCCTGGAGCCAGGGAGGCTCACCATCTAGGCCTTGTTTGGGGATTCACGGTAGAGGAATCGAATAGAAAAGCCTTACATTCTAGTCCTACAGAAGGTTTCACAACTGACTTTCTCCAGCAAATGGAATCTTGGCAGGCTTAGAGTTTTTCACCATAACTTCTTTCGATAGGTTATAGGCGTGGGGACTGAGGGAAGGTCATTGGGGACCAGCTCTGCGAAGGGCCCAAACAGCTTGACTTCCTTCTTGCTGTGCCTTTAGGCCTATTTAAGAGCTCAGCGCCCAGTCCACCAGCCCGATGTCCATCGGAGATGGTTAGAGGCCCACCCAGATGTCGATACTGTGTGAACTAGTACAAAAGAGACACAAACAAATATAGCTCCTGACTTGTTCAGGAAGGACAGTAAAAAGAGGCCCTGGATATTTATTTAGCTTATGACCAATGTACGGCTCGGGAGGCGCATTGTGTGTTTATTCTGTGGACGCACCAAAGAGCCCTTCTTGGAAACAGTCAGGGGGAATTCAAATAGGCAGAAATCCTCTGGTCAGCACAAACTCGAAGCTAGCAATGCTCAAGGCGGCATAAAGCTGTTTTTTAGTGTCAGCTACGGTCAGGAGTGTGTGTTGTGGCATTTGGAAGAGCAATTAGGGCAGTTAGCTAATTGCACGCTTGAAAATGACAAGCCACTTGAAAATCAAAAGTCTGACTCAAATCCAAAAAGAAATTGGTGTAGCTTTGAACTCCACAGTTGTTATTTTGTACTGAATTTCAAGCACTTCCTATTAAACATGGAAAATTTGCTTTTTTTCCTATAACCTTATCCTGAGTATTTTGCTATTCTTAGCCCATGTTTTGAAGTGTTCTTGATTTAAAAGATGGAGAGAATGGGTTATATCAGTTATATTAATTCAGTAAACAGCCTTGGTTTGCTGTGTAAATATTTTCCAACAGTACTCTGCAGTAGTGCTTGTGGTACATTCTGAGATTTCTAATCAGAGGCCGTAGGTCAAGAAATAGTCTATTGACAGCGATCTCTGAGGTTTCAGGAATTCTTAGCGCTTTATGACGGTCAACTTGGGGTATTTTCCCTACATTTCCTTTATACAAAAAAATCTGGAGAAATTTTCATAAACTTGCACAAGTGAAAAGATAGGACGTCCTGACTTAAAATGACCTCTCCTTAAAAAAATAAGTATTTGATTTCTTCTACGTGATGAGAAGAGAGAGTATCATTTCATTATGTACTAAATAGGTCAAAACTCAGCTATACCGCAAAGAACTCAGGTTGGTGAAAGAGGGCGTTGTTCGTTTGAATCATCTGAGAGGCAAGCTTTTCTTTCCATCATTTCCTTGGTTCAGGGCTGACCAGTGAGAGGTGGGAATGGAAAGCTGGGATGTGGTCTTCAAGGAGACTTTTTCAGAGTCTGTGTAGATTTAGGGTTTGACGCTTGATTAATGGTCCATCTAAATAGGACACTTGAAAGCGACCACTTGACTACTGAGTGTGGATTTAACGTTGCATGTGTGCTTTTCCTTACTGATTTTAGGAGGATAAATTGTTCAGATTATAGAGAAGACTTTGTGCTTCTTGATTCGATTTGAACAACAGCCGAAATTCAAGGCTTTTGTACATTAGTCTGTTTGCTTTTTTTCCTAGGGTCTCTGTGCAAGTCAGCCACGCACCTGGGATCACATTTCTTCCGTGTTTCTTTCTAGATGAACTAGCTCTTGAACTTAGAAAGACTTTTGTTTCCTGGGGTGGAAGGCAGGGAGGGGAGGTAGACATGAGGATATGCCCAAAAGAGAGATGAACCAGCTGGAGATGACTGTAAGCCAACTTCATTTCAGAGAAGGAGCTAGAGGGGGCAGCGAGGAGGAATGCCCTAGGACACATAGCCCAGGGTTTCCCGACCTCGGCACTAGTGACATTTTGGACTGGATCATTCTTTATCGTTGGGTGTCCTTAGCAGCATCCTTGGCCTCTTCCTATTAGTACCAATAACCGCCCCCCCCCCACCAGCTACATCAACCAGAAGTGCCTCCAGACATGGCCGAAAGTCCCCTGGAGGGCAAAACCACCTGCAGTTGAGAACCACCAACAGAGCCTTTTAGAATCTCAGGATATAGGTGCACATGGCGTCATCAGTGGGAGCTACAATGTCTCCTTCATTTCACTCAGGCACATCTTCCCATGTCAACCCAGCTGTGACAGTCGATAAGTCCTCTTTCTAGTTCGATCTTATTTTTATCCTCAGTTGAGATGAAACTTTCTCTCTTAGGTTGTCTGGGCTGTGAGGTCACTAGGGTCCTAGATCTGCCCTCAGTTCCAGGTTGAAACTTCTGTCCTCACATCTACCTGTGCCCTGTCTCAGGTTCCCTGGCTTCTACCCACAGCATTGCCTGGAGTCAACGGGTAGGCTGCTTTAAGTTGTTCTGGTTCAAAGGCTTCCCTTTTTTTTTTTTCATTTTGTGTTGTTTTAAACCATAGTTTTTCCAAGCATCTCAGCTGTTTCACTCTCTGGTTCTGTATCTGGCCCTCCCCTCAATTGTTAGCCTCTGTGGGTGGAACAGAGCTCATGTCACACATACTAGGTCTCATTTTCTCTAAATGATCCATTAGCACGAACCCCAGCCACCCAATAACCAGTCATTTTTTTGGTTCCTTCAACGCCAGGCAAACCTCCTTTCCATCCACGTATGATCTTCTGGCCCAGGGTACAGGAGTCTGTAGGTTGCCTTGCGAATCATACTTTTCAAAATCATTCTTTTCTCCATTCTGTAACCTGGGATTCCAACTCCAAATAAACTGCTTCTTTTTTTTTTTTTTTTTTCCATTTTAAGGCTGCGGGTGGATAAAGGGGTGGGTCAAGAACAAGGGTGAGGGGTTGGTCTCTTCATACTGCAGTTTTATTACTATTGCCTCCAGTATCAAATGTGATTAAGATGTCTGTGTGTACAGACAGCTGAATGAATGGGAGCCACTTGACAGTAGTGTCTGACCACCAAGTACTGATATTTCTAAGAAGAATAACTGCTAAGTCCTTGGCTGCGTGTGCTCTTTCCTCGGCCAAGAGGTCGTAAACCAGCAGCGTGACCTTAGACATTTGTGTGTATTGCTTCTCTCTCAAGCAGGTTCAGCAGGGAGTAGATAAAAGCAAATCATGCGTGCAAGGGGCCAGAGGCAAAGAGGACGAGGTACTGAAGATAGTGAGGAGATAATGCTTGTCATAGAAATACCTGCCAATTTCTTTGCAAGTGGGGGTGGACTAAATGCTGTTTTGAAGGAAAGGAGACACGTATTTTGATATATAATAAAAGTTGGTTTTTATGTCATTGGTAAAGTGTCATAAGTAAACACACACACACACACACACACACACACACACACACACACACACTCTTATTCTTCCCATTAAGGTACACCCAGAGTGATTTAAAACGTAACTGGTAAGACTAACTAAAGAGGAAAGTCAAGAAGGGAGATTTATGTTTTCAGTACATTTTTAAAGGTGGTTCTGTTTAGTCTTCCACAGGTTCTGAAATCCTAGTCTAGTGAAAATACAGATGGTTTCGAGATTTTAATGTGATCTTCTTTTTTTCTTTAAGCTTGAAGAAGAATTCCAAAGAGAGGCCAACATATCCAGAGCTTATGGTGAGTGTTGTTAGTGGTGTAAATGTGTCCAGACTAACAGCGAGTACAGGGAAAATGACTGACACCTAAATTATAATCAAACAGCTGTACTGGGAGTGCTGATTCACTGAGACATTGGTAAGTGAGGTTAAACTAAGAAAAAAAGAGCTGAGGCTTTCGTGTGCCCTATACTCATCCTTAGTATAACCGGGCTGTGTCACCAGTCTTAGCAATTTTTTACATGATAATAAAACCTGTCATCGTATAGACCAAATTATGTCTGTGAAATTTATATTTTCAAATTTTAAAGACATTAGGAGTCACCAAGGAACACAAATAGAAGGAAACCATAATTTAAAGGATTTCAATAATGAGAGAAACTTAAGTGCTACATGATTGATCAATTTTTGATCAATGAAGGAAATGAAATCACTATCTTGAAGAGATATCTGCACCCCCATGTTCACTGCAGCAGTATTTATAACAGCCAAGACGTGGAAACAATCTAAGTGCCCAATGATGTATGAACAGATAAAGAAAAAAAATATATATATATACACACACACACAATGGAATATTATTCAAGCATTAAAAAAGGAAATCCTGCCACTTACAACAACACGGGTGAAGCCTGAGGACATTATTCTAAGTGAAATAAGTCAGACAGAAAGAAACAAATACTGTATGATCTATTAAATGTGGAATCTTAAAAAAATTGAACTTAAAGAAACAGAGAGTAGATTGGTGGTTGCCAGGGGTGGGTGGGTTGGGGGACTGGATAAAGGTGGTTAAAGAATACAGATTTCTATTTACAAGATGAATAAGTTCTGGGGGTAGAATATATAGCATGGGGACTAGAGTTGACAACAATGTATTTATTACATATATTCGAAAGTTGCCAGGAAAGTAGAAAGCATATCTGGTTAGTCACAGCTTATCACGTGGATTTTTAGTTCTGTTGGTTAAGCGTGGATTTAAGTCTGAACCATGCATCGACTGTGTGACTGTGAAAGAGTTCTGGGAAGAGTCTGACAAGAGACAAGGCACCCTTCTTGGGCTTCTTTGTCCTCTTTAAAAAGGCAGCCCCTGGGACTCAGCATTCAACGAAGCTTTATTCAACTAATACCCACAATTGAGGCAGAAAAGGAGATGAGTAATGCTTGAAAAAGTCTTAGCATACTGCCTGTTTGGATTAAATATTTCCTCTCTGATTATGTTTATAATAGCCAGTCAGGGGCCTTTTCAACCCTGGCTGCTCTTTTCTGGTATTCTTCTGCAACCCCCAGAGTATTTTAAAATTAATGTCACATAAAGGGCAATAGGCATAGAGCGATTCCTGTGGGGTCCTATGGAGCCTGTACTCCTATTGTAAAGTTGCCTTGCTTGTCAGTCTTTTTAGATACAAGAATATTTTCTGTATATGTCTGGTGATTTAAAATGCATGACATCTTTTTCCCCCTTCCAAGTGACTTCTTATCAGAGGTTTCAATGGAACACCCTTGAGAAAAAATACAGAGTCCTAGCTTAATATCCATTGGTAGCTGACGCTGAATTCTACTTTTCCAATTTATTCTAACACCATGGTCTATTATGGTCTACATATTAATGTTGTAAGATAGTGTGGGTCTCCCCTCCATCTCCCCCCCCGCCTTTTATGGCATTCATCTTTGTGGTCCTGGAAACGGACTTGACTTTTAAGGCCATAACTGCTCCTTGCTTTTCTGTGGAATTGAGGTTTTTCAATGGAAAATCTGAGTCCAAACTCTTTGACTGTAGCTTTGGGAAAACACATGCTGAGAGGCTATTGTTTAGGTTGTGGGAGTTGGTGAAGAGGTAGAAAGGAAAAAAAACTCCTCTTTTCCAGGTGAAGAACAGTATAATTAAGGCCCCAACCCAGACATGTGCCTCTTATAGGAATTCCATATATTTTGCCCTGTTTGGCTTGAGAAGTGGACATGCTTTAAGATCATTTCATTTGCTTATTCTCTCAAATGTCCATGGGGGGACATGACTCGGTAGGAATTGTTCTTCTGGGGTAGGGGACTAGCCAGGGTTTTTGTCAAGGATTAGACAGTAAATATTTTAGGCTTTGTGGGCTGTCACAACAACTTGACTCTGCTGTTTCGGTGTGAGAGCTGCCATATTCAATAGGTAAACAAAAGGGTGTGGCTGCGTTCCAATAAAACTTTATTTCAGAAATAGGCAGTGAGCCAGACATGGCCGCTGGTCCATCAATTGCTGACCCCTGTCCTAGATGATAACCACGAGAAATGAAAACCAGGTGACTGCCCAGTGAGGTGATTATGTTCCCTGAATGTCCCGGGAAGTCCTAGATTGAATCACAGTGTTAAACGGGGATGACCGAACACAGAGAAAACCACCGTCTTGAGGGATGAGGTGTCTGCAGGGGATCTGGAGACTCTTGGTGATGGCAGCGATGCTCCCGGCAGTACGTTCAAGTCCTCCCTTCCTGTACCTGGCCCCTCTTTGGAGAACCTCAGCCTGGGCCTATCGCCTGGGGATGATTCCATGGTGCCCCTTCGCTGTCTCCTGGTTGCTGTCCTTGCTATTCTTAGCTGATTGCTTATAGAAGGGACTGGTTCCCTCCCAACCTTTTACAGCCTCAAAACCCGCACAAGAAGACGAGCCACACTTTCCATTTTCGCATGCCCGCCTGCTTTCCCCTGCCCCTGCCCTCTGGCTCTCACAGCATTTTCCCAGCCTGAGAATAAGCTGAAAGATGCCTGAGGATTTTTTGTTTTTTAAGGCTCCAGGTCAGGTTATTGAATTCAATCACAGACCCGGGCTACGTACACTGAGCTAAGAACCACCAGCAGAACCAGAGGTAGGACAGGACTGGCAGGCATTGAAAGCAGTCGCTGAGACAATCCAAGGCTTGACGTGTCCTGTTTTGATAGCAAAAAGCTTTAAAGGACATAAAATGATCTCTAAGTGTCAAGATGATGTGGGAAAGCTAATAAGCATGATGGTAAAACACTTGGTAAGTGTGCTGTGTAAGTGGTTAGTAATCAAAAGTAATGCTTCTATTTATTTATCCAAGGAGCTCAAGAGGAAGGGCCCAGCACCTAGAGCTTCAGTTAGTCCCATGGATATGAAACTCTGGAGCAGCACCCAACCTGTATCTTCAGATGGGCAAAGGCAGAAAACCTCTTTTTTTTTCAGTCATGATACTTAATGGTGATCACCTACCTTCTTTGGGGCTTTATTTCTTTGTTCCTTTCCCATTTGCATTGTTTTCTAAAACTTCCACGGGTGGGCATTCAGTTTCCCACAGGGCTGACTCATCCAGCCCTCTGCTGTCAGGTTTAAAACAAATATAATTAGAAAACCTACAGCTAGGCAACATGAAAGTTGTAAACTAAAATCCTCAAAGTCAGGGGAAACCGAGTGAGTCATCCACATGTCTGCGTGCAAAAACGCTCATATTTAGCTATTCAACTAGTCCTTGAGAACAATGCCCCCAGACAAGCAGGGAGAGGGCCCTCCTAGCTCGGGGGCACGTGGCACTAGGTTCTACCTGAAGGAACTGTCCTTTTTGGTTTGTTCGGTTGGTTCTGTTTCCACTGGGAGACTGTGGATCATGAGCTGACGTGTCTACTAACTAGAGGTGTAAGGTTCCAGTGTGACGGCCAGGCACTTCCTGTAACAAAATTGAGCAATTTGGGGAGGACTGCCCTGCTGCAGAGCAAATGGCTTCTTTTCCTTCAGAATTGTTTTGAAACGTGTGGCTTCCTGTATTGGACCGCGCTTATTCCCCCAGCAAAGAACAAGACTTGGTGTAAAGTTTACTTAATCGGAGCTGCATGAATAGAGACCATTTTTTTGCTTTTCAGTTTTTAAATTCCAAGTTGAATTTTCTCTGCCCATACCTCGAGTTGGGCAGGCTACATTATTTTCCAAATGGATCAAATCATCATGGAGAGACATATGTATCACTTGTAGATGTGGCTTAAAAAGTAGCATTGTTAACTGTCTCAGTCCAAACCACCTCTCCTGGTATTTTAAAAATTGGTTTCTCACTCTGCCACCCATTTCTTGAGAACTGAAATGTATATAAGCCTCTGAAATTTCTAATTATTTTACTACTGTATCTGTCTAAAAATTACTTTGTAAGGGACAGGGTTATTTGTAAATCGGAGCCTTGGACCATCTTTGCTATTCCTTGTATTTTACCAGGGATGGATGTGTATAGCTAGTTACGTGTGTATATTTTAAAGCAGTGGATACACTGTCATGGAAATATATACCAAAATGGGAGGAGCAGCAGCTAAGCAATATCTTTAAAAAGTCTGCACAGGGGAGGGCGGGATGAACTGGGAGATTCGGTTTGACATAAACACACTACCATGTGTAAAATACACAGCTAGTGGGAAGCTGCTGTAGAGCACAGCGAGCTCAGCTCTGTGCTCTGTGATGACCTAGAAGGGTGGGATTGGGAGGGGGGAGGTCCAAGAGGGAGGGGATATATGTATACATAGAGCTGATTCACTTCACTGTACAGCAGAACCTAACACAACGTTGTAAAGCAATTATACTCCAATTAAAAAAAGAAAGTTAGCATCACTAAATGTGTACTTGGTTTGGGAGGGGGTAGGAAGAGTCCAGTTTAGCCCTGATAGGGGTACTTAATTTGTTGACTAACCAGATCTGTTAACTTGGTAATCTCATGCATTGTCAGTGACAGGTATTAATATCAGGTATTTTTCTTTTCTCTACCAGCAACATCCATTTTTCACCCTACACGAATCCAAAGCGACAGACGTGGCATCTTTTGTAAAATCGATTCTTGGAGACTAAAAACAATGGACTCCATCAGTTGACCCTCCTGTGGATTGGTGGGTTTAACGGGGTGAAGCAAGTTCACTAAAGCGCCAATAGAAACTCATCTTTGAGATAATTTAACCCTGCCTCTCAGAAGGTTTTTTTCTCCCCATTTCTTTTTTTTTTTTTTCCCCTCCAAAGGGGGCCTTGGAATCTATAGTATAGAATGAACTGTCTAGATGGAAGAAATATGATAAAGGCTTAGGACTTAAAAAAGGTGATTAAATATTTAATGATGTATCATATGAGTCCTTAGGCTTTTCAGACTTCTCTTGTTCTTTACAAAATGAATGCATTGGCCCTGGTAAAAAGGTGCTACAGTGGTGATGAAATTGTAAGTAGATCTGTGGTTTGTCCCACTTATTATTTTAATATTTATGTTTAAGCGCTTGGTTGAAAAGATTCCATTTTATGCAAGGAGGGAGAGACAAAAGACAAGATTGGGTTGGCAGTATTTATAGGCTTTTTCATTTCTTAAGTTCAGTCGTGTCTGTGGTCCAGAAGAAGTTATTTAATGTGCATCTTTAAGAGTATTATAAAAGTATCCACCAGGAGCTCTTGTGAAGTATCTGTCCCAGCTGTTGTGGCTGCTGCCGTGTTCCTAAATTTCTGCTCCATCCTGGGGAATAACCACATTTTCTGGTGAAGTGGCAAGGTATCCTGGTCATACTCTTTTCCCAATTTTGGAAAACATAAAATCACTTTTATCACAGCTCAAAGAGTCACAGATTTGGTTCTCTTGATATTTGTGTTACACTATTAATGGAATGTGATTTGTGATGTGATTTTCTATCATCTGTCTATCCTTCTACACGTGCGCACGCATGTGTATGTTTGTATTTGATGTCACAAATTCTGCCAAATGGCTCTTATAAATAACGTCTAATATCTATAAATACCATCTAAGGAGGACGTTTGTCAGTCCTAAGGGGAAATACGTCATACCACACAGAGAATCAGTGCCTTCCTCTGCTTTTCCCCCTCCTACGATGTATAAGCCCCAAGGATTGCCTTTGTTGTTACTGTACTCTTGCTTTTTTTTTGGTTTCGTTTTCTGTTCAATGAAGAAGCCTTACTATAAATGCAAGGGCTGCAGTAGAAGAAAATTAAAGGCAGTGAGTCGTTCTCTGATAAGGTGAGAAGATAATGGGAAGGGTTGAATGAATTCCTGGAAATAGAGGCCACATTTCCACAGGCCGAGTTCAAGGCACGTCCTTCTTCAGCAGTGGATCGTTCCACGGTGGGAGGCCAGCTCCATGGTGGACTCCTAACAGGCGGACGAGGCAACAAAAGCTCTTTCTCATGGCCAGATACACCCACGGGTTCTCTGATCTGGGGCTTGAGGTTCCTCAAAGGTCAGAGTGAAGTGGTCCACAGGGAAAATACGACTGAGAACCACCAGGAAAACACTGTGTTAATACAAAGGCACTCTTTGCAGCACAAGGGCAGAGAATTTTTATTAAAAGAAAAAAGAACACACTCTGTTCCTTTCTTTGCCTCAAATTCACAAATATGGAGAAAAGACTGCTCCCTTGAATACTCCGCTTTTTCCCCTTTTAGATTGTGAAGTGCAATCCTATCTTTTTCTCTCTTTGCATGTTTCCCTTGTTCTTGGCATCCAGCTCATGCCCAGAGAGGGTATGGCTCGTCCATACACTTCTTCATCTTCAGTTCCAAGACATACCTGTTTGATAAACATCAAATTCATCTGCTTTGATGCTACCCCGGTCTTCATCTTTCTCCAGCCAGAAAAAAGGGTATTATCCCAGTTATTATTGCCATTCACTTTCCTACCCTTCTTTCTAAATCTGGAAGTTACTCTCTTTGAGACCCAGAGAAAAAAATCAAAACTGTATTCATTCATCTTCTGAGAAAAGAAAGTAGCAGAAAAATATCTGAGGCCATTTCATGACAGTTTTTGGTGAAATATGTAAAGCAAGACATCTATCTGGTCTGGGTCAGATTACTCTTACCTCTCGTTCAGTGTGATTTCTACTTTGAAATTTTCTTAACTAACTGTGTGTCTCATGTGTACCCATCTCCAGTCTGTGAGCCTGGGGCCTGGAATCCCAAAACAAGTACACCCGGGGAGAGGGGTTAGTCAATGGTTCTCAACCCTGGTGCACACTGGCATCACTGGGAGCTTGTGAATGCTGTTAATGCCAAGGCCCCAGAGAGTCTCACTTAACTGGTCAGGGTAGGACCTGGGAGCAGGCAGTTTTCACAGGCCACTACTGTGATTCTGATGTGCAGCAAGGTTGACAGCATGGTCTACTACCCCCTAAGGAGACAGATGGAATACTGATTTGAAATTTGGGATACCTTTTCCCCATAGAAACGATGTTCTACATGGTGATTAGGTATCTTACATACTAAAGTAGAATGGCCTGATAGCCTTACAAGTCTAAAGTTTAGGATTTTTTTTAGAACTGTGTTATAAGTTCTAAACAACTAATTTTAAAATAAATATAGAGATGCATAAACTATATTTAAGTTGATGTAAGTTGGGAGTCTCCTGTACATACGTACATACGTGTGTGTGTGTGTGTGTGTGTGTGTGTGTGTGTGTAGAGAGAGAGAGAGAAGAAATCCCTGTCCAGGGATGATACTCAAAATATTTCATGTGCTACCAGCATGGACCATCTGAATATTAGCCTTGCCTATAATTATCAATGTATCAGAAAGTCAATATATCTCTATAAAAGAGATCATGCTCTTTTTTCCACAAATGTATTTGATTTGGTGTGATATAATTACCCACATTATATATTGTCTTTATGTTGATAAAAATACCCATTTCTCTATATGTTGTTGGCTTCAGAGGTATGCCAGAAAAGCAATGTGAATGACTTTTAGGACAATTGCCGTTTACGTGCGTGTATCAGTAAGGATTGCCCTTCAGAGGAAACACTTTCAGGATTATTTATGTGAATAATGCTACTAAATATCTTGGCCACTTCTCTTTCAGAAAAGGCTTCAGAATCCACTTCCTCCCCCATACGTGTTACATGTAGAATCATCATTTTATAATTATTCCTTAGTTGTTTGTTTTTACAAAAATCCTTACCAGGTATTTTCCTCTCTGTTTTACCCACCTTGTGTATCAGACTTAGCACCAAGCTGTGCTTGGCAACTTCTAGAAGTCAAATTTGCCCTCAGAGCTGGAGTTTCACCATTGACAACTTTTAAATGTCTTTTTAGAAGACCATGCATTGGCTCTGAAGATAATTTCAAATGTAGATTTCTCAAAAAAGCACGTGCTCGTTTTTAAGCAAAGTCAACCTCCCCGGAGTAAGTGTAGAGCCTCCCCAGTGGTGACTAAAGGGGAAGGAAATCACACAGATGTGTGTACGTCATGATGAAATATCAGAGAGACCCCAGTTTCCCAGCTGGCTACTTCTATCAGCCCCGATGTGGAAGAACCGGCCGTTCTTCCAGTGTCTGTGTTTGGTCACACTGATGTAATCAGAACAAATTGGTTACATACGCCGCTTCTCTCTTGCTTACACAGTCTGAGATGGAAAATGAGTATGTGTGTGTACAGCTCAGAACTGTCTGTCTTTTACCGTGCTTGTATACCCTCCAAGCCTAACCCAAAAATGTATATGCCAGAGATTCCCAAACACCCTCTGTTCAGGGTGCCATTGATTGTCTTAGTAACTTCTTCCACGGTGCCCTAGGCCAAAAGAAATACTTAATAGCTCCATTTATTAAGTCGTTAGGTCCACAAAACTTTTTTTTTTCTTCATGTTAAAAGAGTTTATTAAACTAGCAAGGAGAAGTCGGTAATTGAAATGACAATAAACAGTACCATTTACAGGAGCATCAAAAACCTCAAAATGCTTAGGGACAGATTTAGCAAAATAGACACAACACCTGAACAGTGAAAACTATACAATGCTTCAGAGAGAAATGAAGGAGACCTGAATAAATGGGACGAAATATTGTGTTCCTGCGTTGGAAGACATTGTTTTCATATCAGTTCTTTCCAAATTGATTTATAGAATCAACGCACTCTCAATAAAAATTCCAGCAGGTTTGAAAAATATATAAATTGACAAGTTGATTCTAAAATTTATATAGAAGCACAAAAGATCCGTAATAGCTCAAACAGTTCTGAAGTAAAAGAGCAAAGTTGGAGGACTTACACAGTTGTCCCTGGTACCCTTGGGGGACTGGTTCCAGGACACCCCATGGGTACCAAAATCCATGGATGCTCAATTCCGTTTTATAAAATGGTGTAATATTGGCATATAACCTGTGCACATCCTCCCATACGAGGTCTACACAACTTAATTGTAGTAGTTTGCAGGATGTCCTACAGATGCCGCTGTGGTTCCCTTGAAAAGTTATGATATCTTGTGTCCCTAGGAGTTTTCTGTGGAGTCTCAGGGTGTCTCAGCACACAGTTTGGGAACCACAGGTGTATGGTTTTTTTTGTTCTGTCTGCAGTTCGTGACCCTGAAAACGCAACTCTTGGTTACTCAGTCCTCTGTGCGACTTCACTTTTGTGTCTCATTATTGTTGCTGCTTGCCTCTCATTGATTAGGTTTTTAATTGAGGCCCTACCCTTCTTTGCTGTTCGTCAGCCCTGCGACCCTGATGTCATGGTCTAGAAAGTGAAACATTCCTTTGCCCCAGCATTGGAGGAGGTCAGCCTTGAGGCTAAAGAGGCACTGTTTTCTGCTAATGCAGTTGATTTAGTGTCTTTGAAACAGAATCACAAAGGAGGCAGAGAGGGGCGAATGTTTTTGCAGTTTAACTCTAAAAATGCTTTTGTTGACCAAGAGGCTTCACCAGCTCTGCTCAGGGAAACTACTCTGTTTCTCCCAAAGGTGTCGAACAGAACACTTTATCTTTGGCCTGAAAGTGCAGTGGATACCTACTTCTTGACTTCCCAACCCCAATGCTTTTTTAGCTATGTAATGCCCTCTGACCTTGAAGGATTCTTATTTTCATAAAATTCATTGGAGCTGGTGGTCAGATCTAGTAAAATGAATTAAACCTCTACTGTGCTGGGGATTTTGCCTTCTTAATGTCTATGACTTAAAGGGAGATTTCCTAGCTTAAAGGAATCTTCCATTTTTATTAGCAAGTAGAAGATGCAGTTTTCAATCCAACCCCTGATGATTTACATATTCAGATGGAAAAATGCCAGAGTAAAATCTAGGAAGAGGAAGTTACCAAACCTGATAGAACGGACAAAAGGTATTTTACTGTAGAAGGTCCATGTTCCTCTTGTGTGTGTGTGTGTGTGTGTGTGTGTGTGTGTGTGTGTGTGTGTGTAGCACTGTTTAATGTGCTAAGGATACTCTTTGGTTTTCTTTGGCTTTAAGTGGGGTACTCTGGATTGCTTTGAGACTCTGTTGAAAGCTAGGACCTTTTCCCTAGGAAAATGTACACTGTACATAGTTTTGCAAACATTTTTCGTTGTGCGAGAGGGGAGTAGAGTACAATCCCATATGATCAATAACTTCTGGCTCTGTAGAATGTGGACTGTGACACCCCAGACCAGGGGTTGGCACACTTTTTCTGTATAAAGGGCCAGATAGTAAATATTTCTGGATTTGTGTGCCATGCAGTCTCTGTTGCAACGATTCAAGTCTGCTGTCAGAGAGTGAAAGCATCCATAAACAATATGTAAATGGATGAGCACAGTGCTGTGTTCCAATAAAACTTTATTTACAAAATCAGGCAATGGGCCAGGCCATGGTTTTCCATAGCCTGTTCTAGACCATCAAATACAAAACTGCAATTGATTAATTCTATGTATAGAGTTCTTCCATTTAGTGTTTAGCTCAACTGCTGTTGAGGCAGATTAGGAAGGTGGACATAGGAAAATGAATTCTGAAAAGATGGGGACTGTTCAATCCCATGAAAATTGCCTCTTAATTTCCTCAGGTAAGTATTCTGCTCTGGAAGCCAATGGGACAATTTTCTTCAGATTAAATTGAGTATCCACCTTTTGCATTTCTATGCAATAGCTTACTTCGTAACATGGAAATAAAGGCACACTTCTCCCAGACATTCACTGCATTCTTGTCTCTTAGCTTTGCATTTTGTTTCTCTTTGTGGTGTGATTCATGTGCAAGGAGAATCATGAACCCAGACACAAATCATCCGGTTTTCCTTCTTCCTGAACTGCATCAGGATTTGAGAAGCTGGGAGGCCACTTTAACCTCAGAAGTAGAAGGTAGATAGAATTCTTAAAATCTTCCAAGTCATCCACCTCATCTGTTCGGCTGTCTTTGAAGAGAGTGATAAAGAATAGTTGGGGGTCAAAATATTTGTTCTCAGGTAGACTTAGCGCTATAGGAGACGCAGACCTACCCCTTGAGTGCTGTCCCTGGGCTTGGAGAGAGGAGACCGCTTTACCTTCCTCCTTTTTCAAGGGGTCTGTGCTGGACGCCTCCTTTCTGATGTGACTGTCTTGGGTTGCCAGCCTTGCTTGAATCTCTGGGCTCCACAGCCCTCGGTGAAAGCTCTGTTTTCTCCATGGGACTGTAACAACTGTATAATTTGCTTTGCTTCTGTCAGTAATTATCCTCTTTGCTGTACAGAATGCTATACAAATAACAGTCTGCCAGTTACCTAAGCTGTCTCTTATTTTTTTCTTCCAGGACAACACATCTTCCTTAAAGCTATAGTCTCTTTACTATTCAGAAACTTTTTTTTTTTTCCCTGCTACACCATCGGGCAAACATAAAGTACACTTAAAATGACACCCGGAAACTCCTCATGGGAGCATATTTAAGTATTTGATCTGGTAATTTACCTAAAAGAATGTTTTCTCTTCACCTAGGGAAATAAAACCTGAATTCCTGAGCCTTCAAAATGAAACTATCCTTCTGGGGGAAGCATATTGCCACCAAATACATCACTCACCACCTGTTCCTGGTTTCTGCAAAGAAGATGTGTCAGTTTTCTGAGGTTTAGAGAGTCTGTGTTTACAGCTCTACAAATATCATTCTACCATTGCAGGTTTTCTAATGGAGCCATTTGGAATCAAGACTTCAGCTGGGGTTTATTCTTTTCAGTTCCTGACCCAAACTCCTTTTGCAAGCAACATTTCTCTAAAAGCCTTTTCTGTATCTGAGGGAAGAGAACTGAGGGAAGAGAACTGGGCCTCAGAAAAAACATAAAGCAAGGTCAAGGACTTTGTGATAGGGATTCTTTTCTTTAAAAAGAAGCCGATAGCACCTCATAACACAAACATGTCTTAACAGAATTTAAAAATATCCAGCCTTGTTCCCTTGGACTGTCAGTATCTTGACATCACTTGTATTTGTCATTTGAACTAGGATATCAAGCCCTTTATTCTTGGGAGTTTACAGTTGGATTTTGGGAGATTTGCATTGTATTTCCTTCTTACAGTTGTCAGTATGGACATATGTCTCTGTGGACACTTAATCCTGACACACTTTTGCATTTTGGGTTTCAAGGTCTCTTTCGAGGAGTGAGGCTAACGCTCTTATGACTTGGAGATGAGTTCAGGGAAAGCACGGGGCAGTTTAGGCACTTACTTGTGTCTTAATATAGGAAAAAACAAAACAAAACAGAACTTCCTAAGTAATCCCCAGGGTCTGTGGCTTCGGCCAGGCCATCAGGGTCTTTTCTGTTTTTCTTGAGTGCATTTGCTTGTTATTCCTCTGCCGGTTACAGATGAACTGGGCTGACTTAACACTTCTGTGGAAAGGAAGTGATCCAACCATTTTCATATATCAAAAGTCAGAATCAGCAGTTTTGCACTGGTCTTGCCTACGTGGACTCTATTGTTCTCAGATCGTGAAATGGTGAGGGACAGCTAAGAGAACTTGTAGCAAAGCTCTCATTCACAATATAAGACCTTATAATAAAACTTCCATTTGGCCTTTAAAGAAGAGCAGCTGGGTTGGCTACGTCTTCCTCCAAAGTCACATTCTACTCTGGCCAGAAATGAACAATTAGCATCATTTGGTCACTACCAGTGTTTGTATTGGAGCCTGCAAGCTATTTCAATACAGCAAGTCAAGCCACTGCCCTAGGGGATTGTCATCGGACTTTGTAGTTTCAGGCTGAACAGTGATGTGAAACTGTGCTTGGGGGCTCGAAGAAAAGATAAATGCAAAGGGCTGGCACCCCATGGAAGAGCAAGCTGATAAGAGAAGCAGACAGATATATCCCTTAATTTATTTTCAGTAATACTATAAAGATGATCTCCTATGGGAAAACCTATCAAAAAGCCAAGCCTTTATTATTATTTTTTTCTTCAAAATACTGAACTATAAGAGGATTCAGAAAGTGGCATAGATTTGGATATCAGAGAATTTTCTCTTGTTTCCCTAGTGTTACTGATTCTACAGAGACCATTTAAACTGATGGCACCCAGAAAAAAAGGTACATGATTAGAGGGGTGATAAAGCATTTTGAGAGTATGCAACCCATCTATCAGCTGCCTTCTGGGTAAAGAAAAATGAACACAAAACCGAGCCCCCTAACGTTTAGTTCCGGGGGCAAACATTTTTAAGAAAGGTGGACACCAAAGGTTATCTGATGAGCATACTTTTTTCACAATGCAGAGAACCGTGAATGTTCATAGAAATACACTACAGGTCTTCACCAGAAGAGCTAGAATTTATAATTAAAAGAAAAAAAGCTAGTTTGAATTTTCAGAAGCAGTGTGGAAGAAGTGGTTGTTCTATTTTCTTTTCTTCTGATCTCAAGTGGCCTACTGTATGTTCAATTCTCGGGGAGGTAAGAGTTAAGGGCACAGAAGTTGTTTCCAGACTATATTCATTGGTGCTTCTGGGGTGGGGGAGGGGTCTCGTCGAAGCGGGAGGGAAGAGAGTGTGATAAAGGTCAACCTTGCCTATCTGAAACCCCTGTCAAACTCCAATCAGAATATTTGGCTGTCAATATCGTTCCCTTTAACTGGAAGTCTCTGTGGCTATTAAAGCCTTGGGAACTTAGGATGAAATGACCCATCGAGGACCACAAATAGCCCAAGAATCTGGGAGCTGTGTCTTCAACAATATCTGTGCGTCCCTGATGTTTGCTGTCTGGAGTATGCTAACAGGACTTGGAAGCAGAAGGGCAAGAGAGGGTCATGTATGTTCATTTTCAAGCATGAATCATTTGAAAGAAAGCGTAGACATTGACCTGTGACGGCCGTGCCTACAGATCCTTAAGTTGGTTACTACTGTAAAGTGGCTGAGGGTAACCTGATCTCAGTGACAAGGAAGTGTTGTCACTGGGATCTTGATGGGCAGTGGAATTTCTAAATTTCTACATTTGCAGAGGCGGGAACTGTCATTTTTGTTCATTGACACACAGGAAAAAAATAAAGCTCTTTGGACAGTGTTAGCATGGAGAAGGGTGCGTTCTGAGGCTCAAGCTGAAGGTCACCACTGCTGGGTTTTACAAAGGCTGCAGGTGGAGAACAGGAGTGGGTCCCAGGGTGGCCCGTGGGAGCTGGAAACTGAGACAGTGTATCTGTCGTGAATGGAGCGCAAGGGAACAGTCAGACATCGAACGGATCGTATCAGGTGCCTTCCGCACACTCATCAAAAATCTGCGGTGAATCCTGACAGCGGTACCTTTGCCATCAAACCAAATTTAACAGCTGGGGCTCCACAGCAGCCATTTCAGAACAACTATTTGTGTCAAAAAGTTACATGTGGCAACAATTTGTCGCGTTCGCAGAGCCACCCGAGGAGGCTCGATTAAGAAAATTCAGACAATTTATCCGTCACCTTATCCATGTGTTTGTTTTATTCTCTAGTCTCAAATTTATTTTCTGAGTGGAGTGACTTTTCTCTATGAACTGGAATGATGAAGTGATGTTTTAATAAAATAGGTATTTTTAGAGGAAAAATGTTTTCCTTCTGTAATTAACTTCCACAATTGGGACATATTTCCTACACTACGGAATCATCACGTGGGGTCATTTAAAGCTGAAAGAGGGGTTGGGGTACATCAATAGTTCAAATTGTTTATTTAAATACATGAACATTTTTCTATGTATTTTGTGAAAATATTGATGAGATGCTAGATATATACCTACTATATGGAATTGAACCTTACAAGAACTTTAGTTTGATAAGTGGGGTTCCCCAGCTTCCTTTGTGCCTCAGTTTTACTGCTGAAAATGCTGCTTTCATTTATTAATCTGGTCTTCGTATGGAAAAAAAAAACAAAACACCTTTTTCTTACCTTGTGTGAATTTTATGAGAGGCCTTTTTTATTTGTATATATGATTGATTGTTTTCCTGTGTTGCACCCCAACTTTGGTTTTAAGCCATGTTTATTGTAAAGACAGCTGTTGGGCAAGTGGAAACATGCCTGGTCTTTACAATCCCTTGATGCTAGAAGGAAGTAATTCTAGGTGCTGGTTATTAGGAGGCCCTGCTATCTCTTCCTGGAACCTGATAGATTCTGAAAGGAGATCGGAGAGGTTTCGAAACCCGCCTCTGGCTCTGTGTCTCTGGAGAGTGTGAAATAGAAGACTGACTCCCATTTTGTGGATTCCCTCATCTTTCCTGCCATGTAGAGCATACTGCTACCTTTCCTGGTGAAACTCATCTCTTCTTTGTGGATTGCCATATCTTTTCTTTATGGCTGAGGTGGGCTGGGCTGTAAAGTATGCAATTCATTGTAAGTTTATCCAGTAAAGACCTCTGTGTAGGTCTGAGTGAGTAAAGACCTCAGTCTTTACTGGTGAGTAAAGACCTCAGTAAAGACTGTGGATAGAATGTTTCCATGCCTTTGAGGTGCATGTTACATCTACGTTTTGGCCTTGGGGACTTTTTGCTTGTGAGATGAAGAAGGAAAGAAGAACTTGGGGGGTCTATCCTTAACTCTGTGTGTGTTTTTCTACATGGAAATGTGTGCGGCAGCTTCCTTAAGGGGAAAACCTTCCTAACCATTGTATAGGGAAAGGGGAATTATGAATATCAATTGATAACTTCCAGCCAAAGCTTCAGTATTGTATTTAAAAATACCTGTTTTGAGGGGACGTGTACCTTTTGTTGTCTTTCCCGTGTTAGCTTTGGTGGGGGCGGGGCAGGCATCTTCACTTTAGCTTAGCTTTCCTGTTACCCAGGTTGTGTGCACTGCTGTTGTTGTTTTCATTTAAACTACCGCTTATTGTAATTGGTGATGTTATCTCAAAATCTCGAAACCAAGGAAATACTGGGCTGGCCAAAAAGTTCGTTCCTGGAAGCTAATGCGCAGGACTTGAGGTAGATGCAAGTATTAGCGTTGACGTAGGTTAAGTTTTAATAGAGTTACCAGAAATATCCTGGATTGAGGGATAAAGTGGCTTTAAAGAGGTCACGGTTGTTTTTCATATTGGGAGAAGCCACCTGTCCTAGGTCCTTATTCTTGAGAAATTCATCTTTTCATGTAAATACCATTGGTGGGCATACTTCATAGCCTGGATGCTTGGCCCCTAGCAGTCAGTAAACAAGGAGTTATAATAATTGCCAAAGGTGGGAGTAATTTTCTCTGACATAGGTCATTCAGTGGTGAAATTTCCAATCAGACTATCATGCACAAAGCATAATTTTAAAATCCCCCCCCCACCCTTTCTGATCTGAGAGCACAGGAAACGAAGAACAAGGTTCTGATGTGCCGCGGAACAGTTCTTTGAATCTGTGTTTTTGACCAAGGAAATGGCTGAGGCGTCGAACCACGTGATTATTACGTGGCTTGTACGGCAACCGCTCTGGCCTCCCTCCCACCACCTCAAGGAAACTGAGAATTTTCAAAGGAAAATGAAATCGGGAGATTAGGTCACACTTGGACTCCTCTGTGGATGAAGAGCTGACACTGATTTCCTATCTCAGGATACTCTTCGGTTTCCTACTGCTGCTGAGAACGGGCTGCAGACACTGTATCTGGTCTCCGGATGTTTGTGCTCGTGTGTGTAAGGCTTCACTCCAGGGGTGTTGTTTTCCATGTCGGGTCCATCTATGAACTGACTCGATAACGTGATGAAGATGGAGGAGATAGTGACAATGTCAAATGACAGCCCGCCACCTCTTTCCGCCAAAGTGCTTGCCCTGTGTTCATGGCTAGGACAAAGAACTAAGTCTGCAGGAGCCAGGTGGCCTCAAAAGAAAGGGTGTGTTGATCTCACAGGAGAATGTACAACCAATAAAAGACATTTCAAAAAGGGCAGTGAATCTATATTAATTGGGTTGTTTGTGGAAATGCTTTGTTCCAGAAATGCTGTTTTTATGTGTAAATGCCCTGCAGGTAAAAGCTTTGCTGGAACTCTATATTCTCTTGTTCTCTCATCCATACTACCCCACTTCCAAAACATATGGAACAAAACATAACAAAACAACAGCATCACAGTCTTGAAGACTCATTAGAAAGGCATTTCATCTTCAGGGAACTTCAGACTCGATATTCCTAGGTTAGAAGTGAAGGCCATTATTTCATTATTAAAATCAGATGGCTTGTGGTGGGGATGAGTCCAGGTGGCTGAAATGAAGAGATGAAGACCAAGACTTTCTGGCTTCCATGTGTTTCTGACACTGAACAATGGTGAACAGTAGCCCATCTAGTTATTTGAGTTTTTCCTGGTCCTATATGTAATGCATGTAATATTAGGAAATTTGTCTTACACCTTTGGGTAGTGCCGCTGCCCGTAATGTAGATGTTCTGGGAAAGAACATGTTATTACATTACAGGTAAACAGGGATGGGTCTGCAGAGTTCTCTGATTTCTCCTGTAAACCGAGTGGCTAGACCTAATTGACTTGTATCCACATTACTACAGTTTAGAGAAGAATTGCTAGATCTTAATGTTAACAGTTTGAGCGGATCACCAATTGCATCTGGAGGCACACACTCACCTCTCTCTTGCTTGTTGCTTAAACAAGTTGGCGTTGCTGAATCAGGAGTTGACTCTTTTAGAAGTCCCTAGTATTTCACCTCAGATTTACATCCCTTCTACAGGCTGTTGGAATACCAAGTGGAGGGCTCACCTTACTTCTGCCGACATCATTCAAATGACTTTCCAATGACAACACAGTCTCTTATGCTGATTTTGAAGTCCTTCTCCCCCTGGAGTGTATTAAGATTGCTGCAGTCCATCATCTTTCTTAGGTGATGGGCCTTCCTTGGCTTTAGGAATTTTAAGTTCCTCTAAGGGGTGGAGGTGTGTGAAGGGGAACAGCATGAACACACACAAGATTCTCAGGCATCACATATGAAAGTTATTTTACCCATTTCTCCATTTCCACAGGAATTTACAGCCATTCCATACCTTAACATATCATGAGATAGTTAAAATGTGTTTCTTTTGATGGGGATAAGGCCTTCTTTCTTTCTTTCTGATTGTTTTGGGAGAGTTGTAAAGAGCTGAAGGGCCTCAAACACTTTCCCTAGTGCTGAATATCAACAAAGGTTTCACTTTGCCTCAACACAGCTCTCTCCTTCCATTATTCTGGTGCTCACCTCTCTCATCTCTTAGTTTAAGGTCCAGCCTTAAACTAAGAGATCAGACTTGTCGGGCAATAAACCCAAATCAGAAACGTCTAGTGCTGGGGCCTCTGCTCACACAATGGTGTCCTGGTGGTCATTCAAGAAATAAGCTGGAGTGTAAGAAATCTCTTTTATGAATATCCAGAGGAAGGTAGCAGCGTGAAGAACTTAAAGAAAAAGGACAGAGTGTAAGGACACGGAACCAGAATCTGCCTCTAAGAAGCAAAAGGTTGCTTAAAAAAAAAAAAAAAAAACACAACCTTTTTGCAGTTTTGGTATAATGATTATACAATGCCAGGAAAAGGCAAGAGCAAACTTCCCAGTTGGTCTGGTGGGCACTCTTCATGAAGTCAGAGCTAGAACTCTACAAGCAAAACCAATCCTCACGCACCCAATGGGCATTAGCTCTGGAATCCCTTTTCAGACGTGAGGTGGCCATGCGAGTTTGGAGAAGCTCTGCCCTACCCTAGAATTTGCCTCCTGGGACCTTGCTCTTCAATGCCATCGTCTGGGAGCTTGTTGACAACCCACGGAAGAACCTGGAGGGCAATACTATCCCCAGGTGATTCATATTCACGTTGTAGCTTGAGAAGGAGTCTTGGTCTATCCAGCTCATCCAATTTTGAAGTTTCAGTTGTCAGACCTCAAATGTCGTTGCAATGCTTTCAACATTTACCCCATGTTACAGACAAAAGATGCCTCAGGAAGTGATCACCAGATTTATAAAGTAGAATATCTATATTGGATGGAGAAATATACGTGTGAAATTGTATTTAAATATATCAGCAATCTGATGTTTGGTTAAATACAGCTCCATCCCCCTCCCTTTTTTTTTTCATTGCAGGATTATTGAAAGGAAGTATCGTGAAGGGAAAAAATAACCCTTAAGCTTGAACGCCTTTATACCAGTTATAGACGAACAGGGTTTTATCGATTCCAAATGGAATGCTGCTTTAGGGGTGCAGAGCATTGTGGAGGCTTCACAGTGAAGGAGGTGGTGACCATGAAGTTTAGAGAATGACCTAAAAGAATTTGCTTCCAAATTCAGTGACTTCCTGGTATTATCTGGGCCTTCATGCACCTCACCGTGGGTTTCTCTGCACTGACAGTGTATCCAGAAACTTCTTTGGTAAGTGGTGGCTCTCTGTGTCCCAAGGGAGGTGGAGTCAGCGCTTCATGCTACTCGCCTTAGTCAGCTGAGCTCAGGGCAGTTCATTTTACTACATTCTAGAGTGAGCCTGTGGCCTGGGAGGCAAAGAGCTGTCCGTAGACAAGAACTTGCTAAACCACTTGACCTTTTCAACAGCTGCAGAACTGCTTACTGAGAACATGCCATCTCTCTCGACTCCTCCAATTTGGCAGCCAGGAAAGTCAAGCCAGTGACATTGCGTGATTCTGATAACCTCTGAACGATTCACAACTTTCACTGTAAAAGGGCTAGATCGGTCTCGCCAGTCAGACAGTGATCTTTGGATAGGCTCTCCTCTCCTTGACTCATTCACTGGAATCAACAAAAGTACCGATTTGCCAGATTCCCTAAACTATAAACAAGAATAGGAGCTTCCCTGGTGGCGCAGTGGCTGAGAGTCCGCCTGCCGATGCAGGGGACACGGGTTCGTGCCCCGGTCCGGGAAGATCCCACATGCCGCGGTGCGGCTGGGCCCGTGAGCCATGGCCGCTGAGCCTGCGCGTCCGGAGCCTGTGCTCCGCAACGGGAGAAGCCACAACAGTGAGAGGCCCGCGTACCGCAAAAAAAAAAACCAAACAAAAAAAGAATAGATACGGTCTGTTTCAAGCCACAAATGTAGGGCAAGTGGCAACGTCTGTTTGCCAATAGCAAAGAACATGAATTCTGTTCATGCATGTAAGCAATTTCTCGAAAATCAAGGAGCCCGTGAGTTTTAATTTCGCTTATCTGAAAATTATGTTTGTGTGCAAAAATATCTATGATTCACGACATACTTCTGCAGGATAATCTGAGCTGAAGTACGACTTGATCATGCTCATAAAATGGGTGAAGAATTACTTTAAAATAGTGAAAGAAAGTGTGAAGCAACTGAGCAAGAGATAAGCTTTGAGTTGGTGGAAACAAGGAGAACGTCCCCAGGCTAGAGCCACGTTGTCTCCATCTCTTACTCGCTGTGTGACCTAGGACACATGTCCTCAGCTCTCTGTCCTTCAGTTTACTCCTTCTTAAAACGGAAATAATAATAGGGCCTACTTTAGAGAGTGCTTGTGAGAATTAAGTGAAATGTAGCCTGTAAAGCACTTAGTCCAGTGACTGCCACATCGTCACTCAATAAGTTTTTCTTAATGTCATCCTCTGATCACATCCTTTTTCAACAAATATAACTGAACAGAAATGCGGGTATTTTAGACCATCTAACCCAATGCATCGCGATAATTCTTGGCTTGTGTTGGCTGAACGTGCAGGAGTTCAGACACTGAAGCCAAATCTCATTTTGTCACAAACAAATGTTCAGTTTGTATCTCAGATTAAAAACTTTGCTCACCTCCTCACATCAGCGAGAAAACCAGCATTTTTACTTCTGCAAACCTTGCTTTGTGAGATTAAAAGTGACGTAACCACGTTTGAAATGGCAAATCCAACATATATTGAAAGAAATTTTCAAGGTATTCATTAAGATTGAAATAAGATATATCAGGAAAAAAGGCTACAGATAATAAAATAGTATAGATGGCTGGGATATGCTTTAAATACTGAAAACATAGAAATAATTTTAAATAAAAATTTCTTTGCAGTTTATCCAATACTTGAGAAAGCATTCCATGTGGGTCAAGACCTTAAAAATCATATGTATTTTGTTTTTTTAAATTGAAGTATAGTTGACTTACAATGTTGTGTGAGTTTCAGGTGTAAAGCAAAGTGATTCAGTTATATATATATATATATATATATATATATATATATATATATATTTTTTTTTTT